AACCCATTTTGCGGATAAACATACTTTTCGGAGTAACATTATAAATTTCGGACGATTTATTTTACTGCGACTAATTGCGTAAATGCTACAAATGTTCTGTTAACCCTTTGCGTTCGGTGTACGATGTCCACTAAGCACGCATTTCTCGAACGATCTAAGATTAAACACGCCGATCGGATTTTAATAGATTTAATCTTGTATTTTTCAAATAATGGCACGAAATGGTGTAACACTTCAAAGGAACGCAATAGCTTTTACAATCGCCCCTTCGTTATCGTCAATCACGTATTAAATGTTAGTTGGGATAGTTTTGTAAAGTTTTGCTGGCCGACTGACATACGAGAAAAGTTGGACAATGCAAAGGGTTAATAAACTGTTAGCCTGCTTCTAGTGCATACATACATATATATATATATATATATATATACACATATAAATACATACATATATATTTCGTTTGAAGAAAGTCGTGCACAAAGACATGATAATGACGATGAATCACTGCCTGAAATATCACGGCCTTCATCCATAAAGGGTTCAAATATTTTTGGCAAATGGTGCATACTATTTTTCATTGAACATAGTTAAAAAAAAAGATTTATTACAAATGCAATGTTGTGCCTTTTTCATCACGTTGTATTGTATTATTTCTCTTGATAAGCTTTGGTTAATGAACTTTGTAAATAGTTATAAGGAGTAATAGTAGATCTATTTCCCAGTTCCGTATATTTCGCCTTAATGTCCATAGCACTTTAGCACTCTGCATTCGAACAATCGAAGAATGCAACGAGCCGATAGATTACGGTGCCAAAGCCGAATCTTCACCTAACGTTCTAATTGACCAGTCAGTAATATTCGTTTGTAACTACTACTAACCACCCATTCCTTATGTGATACTTGAAATGTACAATTCTAAAACTTTGATCCGTCTGTTCGATACAATACAAACCCTGAGAATTCATTGTAATCTAAATCGAAATTTATCTAAGTATTCCGAAGGAACGCAACGGAAAAGTGAGATCGTACCCGTTTATCTTCAAGGTGCATCGTCCCCAGCATCGGTGTGATGTTACAAGAGACGTTAAGAACGCTAGGAACGTTTAAAAGTCCGCAGCTCTTAAACGTTATTTATTTCGAGGATCGATATCAGCATAATATTAATTGTTATATAAAAAAAAGAAAAAGAACTAATCGAGTCAAGTTTTCAAAATGTTACGAGCACGAGAATGATCTGCTGTGGATATATGATTCATACTAATTATTTCTTCGAATCAACGTTTTTCGCCATAGTTTGTAATATTTTAATATATTAACTATTAAAAAAAAAAAAATGAAAATGAAAAATGAATAAGGCGAAATGATGGAGAGTAAGTTCGAGTTGGAAAAGGGCGAAAGATCGATCGACGCGTGCTCGTACGGTACGAGTGGATCACACGCGATGGCGATACTGTCGCCATTGGTCGACCATATTGTAAATAACGGTTGTAGACGATCTTTCGCCCGCATATATATATAAGGAACGATGCAGAAAGAGTGTTACTATAGAAAAAAAAAACCCAGCAAAAATAGAATAAAAACGAAAACGAACCACTTGGCGTACACGTGTACACGTTAGACACTATAATATGCGTGTACGATCGTGTACGCGTATATTTGTTGGGGTTAAATAATTGTATGATTAAAAAAGACGAGAAAGTCAAAAAAAAAAGAGACAAAAAATTTGGGGGGAGATAAAAGGAGAAAGAGAGAGAGAGAGAGAGAGAGGGAGAAAGGAAAAGCTAGAAGAAACACTAACGATAAGAGAAATCAACATTCATTTTAAGCATAACGGCTTAAAATGAACACAGCTGTCCGTCTATTTGACTTGTGTCTTCGACGAAACAACTTCGATGAAAACAAAAAGGAACTGAAAAAAACAAAAACAATTAAGAAAAAAAAAAATAGAAACACTAATATTACGGCTCACAACACGTTTGAAAACAAAAACATTAAACGATAAAAAAAAATTCATCGCCTCGATGTTAAATGTAACACGTTTTACAAGGTAACAGAGTATTTCATTTTATAACATTTCTACTGTCTATACTTTTACCTGGACATTTTCACCGTGGACGAAAAAAGAGCGAAGCGTTCCATATAATCCAAAACCAATCCCCACCCTCTGCATCTCCTTTTTCCGTCGATAGAGCAAATAACGATTGTGCACGTAAATCGCGCGTGAAGACACGTTTTTGCCGCAAACCTCTCTTTCAACGAGGATTCTTTGTATTTACAAATTATTTTACATTTCCTATCTTTATGGAGAAAACACGTTATATGCGATTGTTAAAACAGAATATGATTCACAACAGACGAATTACGCATAGGTTCCATAGAACCACGAAATTTCTTTAGATTTTGCAACAAATACGTTAATTGTGCTTTTAGTTTAAAATATAGAAATCTTTATATTCTATAAAGCTATTCGTCTAACATGTATATGAAAAGTAATTAAAAAGATATTTTTAAGTTCTTAGATAATATCGTGTTTTTAAAATTAATTCCTCGTTGAAAACATTGAAAAGAAACAGTTTCATGTTTATTGCAAACACGTGTCACGAGAATAAACCGTAGCTCGATCTTTTATTTTTTATCTCTTATTTCTTTATTTCTTTATTTCATGGAAGTTGCAATAAGAGAGGTCAATGCTTTTTCGACATTCGCTTTCGATATTCTAAAAGAGATTTATCGTTTCAGAGGTCTCGTTGATACTTCGAGACCGCTTTTAAACGTGAATCCAGTGAATTGTGTTAGAAAAGGAATATTTTATATCCTTAAGATGTACCACGAAGAAACTATATGGATCATTACGTGCATAAAAACATGTAGGAGATAAATGTTGGTATTAAACGATTTTAATCGCTTCTGTTAGAGGAAGAAGAGAGAAAGAGAGAGAGAGAAAGAGAGGGGGAGAGAGAGAGAGAGAGAGAGAGAGACATATTTCAAAATCGTACTTGACAAAGATTATGATTAAATCAAAAGAGTACTGTTACTTAGAATTTCGTGATGAGTGCCTATTTTTGATCATGTTATTTATGCGCAAGGTGATTCGTGCTTCGAAGACGATCTATTGCTATTTGTAGGGTGAAATCCAATGAAAAATGTAAGAGAAGACTATATCTACGATTCGAACGAAATCTAATTTGTTATAAATCTTTGTCTAAAATATCTCGCTTAAAATATATCCATTTGTAACTTCTTCCACTTTGCAAATAGCTATAGTTGGTCGCGACTATGCGAGTCACCCTATAGAATGATTAGAGTTCCCGGAAGAAATAGAGCGAATTATGAAAAAGTTATTTTCGATATGATTGTAAACGGTCGAACTGTTCCCGCTATAAAGGTTTTATTTAAATTCAGTGTATGTTCTTCCCGGCACTCTGTCGTCATTCCTCTTTACAAACGACTCTTTTAAGGTATATACTATTCATCTACCCATCAGAAGCTCCTGCATTCATATATTGGCTTCGACAGGTAACACAGAAACCTGCTGGCGTAAAGAACAAAACGGAAAAGCGGCAGGCCGATCAACGGCAACGCGAGTCCTTGAAACGACGCAAATCCCTGCCACGCCAAGCAGAACCGTCCACCATCAGTCCTGAAAAATCCATGTCCGCTCCTGCCTCTCAAGTCCCGACAACCACCGATATCCCGTTGTCTTCTGGTTCTGCTATAACCACGTCAAGCACGAGCAAAAGCACGATGTCCGAAGAGAATGTTTCTAGCGGTTCTACAGCATCACAGGAGATTCAAGGCGTGCCGCGCTTAGAAACTGTCCAAGTTTAAATATCTGCGATGGCGTTCTGTACGAGCACGCATGCGTGCTGATCGCGTGCAAGCGCGAGCGATGGGCGCGTAAGGAACCGACAAAAGTCGGCGCGATCCAATTCAGAATGCACAACTCCAGTGTAGTATCGTTTAATTTGTTGTTTTGTGTTCCATACTTCATGTATCGCGTTTCACGCGTAGCTTCATTTCCTTGTAAACATACAGATTCATTCAAATCTTACGGGAATAGTTCACTTGTTTGATTGTCGAAACGTTTAGCTTCATTGCAAACGAACACGGGTTTCTGGTTAATAGAGCGAATGGTGGTACGTGCGCGTGTATTCCAACACTTCTACTGTATCAATGGAGTTTTCTGCTAAATTTTTATTACTAAATTTTTTTATGTTTTTTCGTGTTCTAATTTTTCTATTGTTGTCGAAAACTTTCTGCATGCGAATTTTATCAACCGCTAGAAGAAAATATATTGATAAATTGCAATTTGAATTTTCGGCGCCATTATTCAAATTTAAAATTGATTTAATTACATTCTCCACACAAATTTAGTTCGTTTCTTTCAAGTTGACGTGATTATATCGTGTTGTTAAAAGTTTCTTTGTTTGTAAAACTTCGAAAAAATTGAAGTAGGGGAAACATTTATATGCGTATTCGTTAATATATTCGGGAAACGGTAATTCTTATTCTTAATATCAATCTATCGAAATTGCATAATGCACCATTCTTTCCACAACTTGACAAAACAAGGGAACCCTACGTAAGTGTTGTTGAGCAGAGAAAAGAAGTATTGAATAACTTGATCTGAGTTTCTGTTCTTTTTTTCTCAATTGTTTAAGTAGAGATGGATCGGTATCGTTAAATACTTTGCTTGTTTTAACACGAGACGATAAGTTTTATAATAAAGACGTCTGATTAATGGTTGGATATGACTTGAGATTCGCGTACTACAACAAACATACAAAATAAAAACCACCTGTTGTATGCGAACTATTTAAGTTAATTATTACATTCTGTTCAAAACTATTAAATTTATATTATGCAGCTAGACAGTGATTTAATAAAGGTACTTTCTTTTGATACTACAACTTTCAAATCTCGATTTTCTTTTATTGTCTTATATTATAAATACATAAATACATTTGTCATTGCTTAAAACAAATTATAAAAACAGATCTGTGCAATTCAATATTTATTATAATTTATTACTATAAACAATTCAATTCCTCGTTATATGAACACATCATCTCGTCACTTGGACTCAAAAGTTGTCCAAATAACTTTAACCACAGCGGGTAATGTGACAACAGAGTTATTACAGTATCTTCATCTTCCATATAAATATCCTTTAGCATCCTTAATGTTCCATTTTTAGAATCATCTGTGTGATGTGTAGGTTCTATTTGTAGTAAAATTACAAGGGATTGCATGTTTCTTGGGTAAAGGTCTACGATATCTTTATTTTGTTTTTCACAATGTTTCTTAATGCTTTTTAGAATTGACTGTATAAAATTCACAACTGTAGGAGCATGATCTAACTGTATTAATAATTCCTTTAGGAATGCACATATTAATAAGAAGATACATGAAGATTTAGTGGCAAATCTGAATAATTGATCTATCAAATTTATATTCTCTAAATCATCTATATTGTCATCTTTATTTAAATCGATACACGATGATATGAAATTATTTAATAACGGTTGCTCTATTAATTTGCATTTCTGTGACTTATATATGGTTTCTATGGTTGAAAGTTTGAGGTCTAAATTGGAATTTTCTTGTACAGCATAACATAACAAATATTCACTTTCATCGCAGGTTTCTAATTCTGCTAGTTTTAGTATCGACTTTTCTACGTAACACTTATAGTATGAATCTGTGGATGCCAAGCATATTAAAGCACTGATTAAGGATAATAGATTGTCGCTTGAGTCACAGCTGTCTAAGGTATCGTCTGTTAAATATTTCTTCAACAAGCTTTTTAGTAATGTTAAGCTTTGCTTTTCATCTCTGAGTACTTCGAAATTTTGAAGATTGTCATTGATTTTACACCATTCTCGTAGAACTTCCTGAAATAACAATAAATTATGAAATAATACGATAAACTTTTTGTATATACTTTTAAATACAAGATACCCACGATCACATGAAGTCTCACAGTATAACGTTGATATGCCTCCTTTGATACCTTATATGTCAATAGTTTTGTTAAAGATAAACATAGTGCATTCAATATATCGTTAGATGGTAGGAATTTATTCTCTTCTAGTAGTTTCTTATATTCCTTTGAATTTTCTAGATTCTTATTAGCACTTTCACAACTATATAATATTGCTTTCAGGATCTTTTCAGCCATATCTTATTCACATTATTAAATAGAAGGGTGGTGTCGATAAAAATGAAAAAGAAGTAGTAAAGATAAAATAAAAGAAATATATATAATTATGAGCCATGCAAAATAATAATTTTCTTAACAGGTAAAATACATATCTATCTGTCAATATACTTACTGAGGTTATATTATTAAATATTATATACAAATCCTGTTGCATTTCTATACGAACACAATTAATTTTACCAATACAAAATGTTAAATTCATTATAAATACTACGACGAATACAATACGTTTTATTTTATTGAAATAAATATTCGATCAACATTGAAATTTTTCGTGGATGACAAGAGTTCCTCGATTACTTTTTCATTATAATGTTCCAAGATCCAGAATTGATTCGTTTAGCTTGTTAAATTTTATTAATCATATTTCTTAAATTTTTTTTTCCTCCTTTGATTTTTAATATTTATTTTAGGATCTAAAAGTTTAATGCCTACAAGTTTAATATTTACAGAAGCAGAGAGAATTGAATTTTGCAAACTGTGATGATAAATGTTATTTTATGTATTGCATAAAAATGTATTTTAATATCTAAAAAAATTTGTTTCTTCTGTCAATTAAAATGATACACTGAAAACAATGAATCAGTTTCATAATTTTAATATTGGTCATAATTCAGTTAAGTAATGCAATGAAGTTAGCAATACAAAATACCTATAAAATAAGAAGAATGTTAACGAAATACTGATATAATAATGAAAAAGATAGTTCATAATAATTATATGCATAATTTAGAATTGAAATCACTACATTATTGGTTTAAAAGCACTCTGTCACAAAATCCCACAATTAAATATGGTAATATATTTAAGATTATGCAAAATACAATACATAAGACTGAAATGTCAAATATAAATACTGATATTCAACAATTTCGAAAGTAAGATATCAAAAATCAACTTAATAGTATAACGATATAAAATTGATTATCTTTATTTAGTTTTACTCAGAAATCACATGATAATTTTTATAATAAAGCAATATTAAGAAATGTTTTTGGATACTGGAAGATCTATGTTATACACAAATTACATACAAGAAGAGCTAAATATAAAGCAGATTATTTTTATCACAAAAAATTACAGAAAAAGGTTTTGAATGCGTTATCAAAAAATGTATTATTAAAATGGAAAAATATTGTTTCATTTATGGATAAGTGCACTAATGACCCTATAGTTTCTGTCAATTATAAAAAAGCAGAGGTACATTATTCTAAATCTTTATTAAGAAATTATTTTAAATATTGGAATAATTGTGTTTCAATGATAAATAAGAAAAGAGACTTATTAGAAAAATCTGTAGCTTTCTACAATATGTATTGTCTGAAAAACTGTATTACAAATTGGAAATTATATGTAGCATTACAAAAGGAGAAAAAAATGATAAAAGATAAAATTGATAAGGTAATGTTAATTTAATAATTAACACTTGACTCGTGTAATTAAGTTCTAATTTGTAAATAACTTTCAATTTAGGCACGTAAATTTTATGCAAAGAAAGTTTTACAAACTTTCATAAGAATTTGGATTAATAGTTGTGAATTTATATTACAAAGAAGTAAAATAGCACATGCAATTATGCATTATAAAAGTAAATTGTTAATAAAATATTTTGATGCTTGGAAAATATATCATGAATACAAACTAAAAAAGTTAAATATAGAAGAACGTGTCTCTGTATACAATAGAACAAAATTGTTAAAACGATATTTTGAACATTTTATATCGGTAGGATTTTTAATTGATCCATGAATTGCATTTACCATTGTTCTTATTAAATTTTATTTTTCCATGTAGTGTGTAAAGGAATCCATCACAGAGAAGACAATGAATGAAAATATCGAAATGTTTTACAACTTCAAACTTGTACAAAAGACATTCTTTGCATGGCAAGACTGGTATAATATGAGTCTACAAAATTCAATAAAAAGTCATGAAATTAGAAACATATTTGAAAACAGAAAAAAGAGTATAATGTTCAATAATTGGCGTTTATATATAATTAAAAAAAAATGCAACAGAAGAAAGATACTTACAGCGGGCAATTTTTATGAAAAAAAGTTGACAATTAAAACTTTAAAGAAGTTTTATAATTATGCTGCTTATAGAAAAGAGAAAAGAATTAGATTATCTTATTTAAACGATAAAAGTAAGGAAATTATGCGACGATTGCAATATATTTACATAGAAAAATGGAGAAATGCGCTTTGCAGTGTTATACAAGAGAAACAAAAGTTATATCAAGCGATTCAATTTTGGGAATTGAATGTAACTCGTAAATACTTTTTCAATTGGATAGAATTTTCTCGGCAGTACAAAATAAAAATGGTTCGTAAACAAGAATTAAATGAGATTGCCATTGGTTTCCTATTGAAAAGATTTATTTTACATTGGCACTCCAAGTTACAAGATGTTCTCTATATACGTAAAAAAGAATTTCTTGCGATTTCCATGATGGAACACAAAATTTTGAGAAAGTACTTTCTGCTTTGGGAACAGTATATTGCACAAAAAGTGAAAATGAACGATGATGTGAAAGTGGCAATGAAATTACATAAACAGCTCTTGTTACGAGAAGGACTTAAAGAAATTTTACGAAATTCCCTTTATAATATCGATTACCAACGTGATTTACAATTAGGAAATGCAGTAATGAGGTCATTTCAAAATTTTGAAATTTTAAAAGAATACTTCGATAAATGGCACTCATTCGTTTATTTAAAAAAGAAATCAGTACCTGTCTGCAAAATTACAGATAGTGATGAATTTCAGTTTAAGCGTATTCAAATTCCATGTAATAATATATATAATAATTTTGAAACTTGCTTAGTTTTACCAGAATATATGATGAAAAAAGATACAATTTTAAATGCATATAATTCATTTCACAAGTTTTCGCGGAAAAGCTGGTTATTTGATTAATTTTAATCACGTTAGAATAACAATATCTTAATTAAAAAAGTACAGTATAAATAGTAAGAAATATATCTCTAGAAACCATTTATTATATATATACAGTGTGTTGCCGAAGAATATGTACATATAATACAAGCGGGCGTAAGGTGATTCCTTATGAGAAAGTAAGAAAATATAAAATAATATTTTTTCCTATAACACTTCGTTTTTGCGAAAATCGAGTTTGAAAATTTGTCAAGTATATTTAAACATTGCTAATTCCAGATTAGATAGAAATAAATAATCAGATTATTTTATATATGAAAATAAGTCAGAAATGTAGAATAAAATTTATTCACAAGATACTTTGTTTCCGAGAAAACTAAATTTGAAAAATTATACATGTACACTAGGACAATTCTTAACTAAACACGGTCAAATTCTATTTTCTTGAAAATTAAGAGGAAAAATGAATTGGAAAATTTTATATCACATTTTCTATCTATTTTCGTATGCAGAATAACCTTTTTCTGACTGTTTATTCCAAGGAGTAATTAGCCAAATTCAAGTATACTCGACAAATTTTCGAATTCGCTTTTCTTGAAAACTAAGCCTTGGATGAGAGAGTTTTATTTTGTGTTGTGAATTATCTCCGTATAATACAATTACAGTATTATTTTCATAAACGAAATGCATTAAAAGATTTTCTTATGAAAATGCTTATTTACATTTACTATAATTAATGAAATTATAAGAATCTTAAGAAACGCTATTATAGCGATCACGATTCGTTATATCCGAAGTCATCGTTAATACAATCTTACACAAAATCATCCAAAATAGCAATATCGTCTAAGAGAGAATATATACAAACTCCAGAATGCGCCGTTTATTCTCTTACTATTATTTCTTCCGTTTTAATTTCTTTAATTCACTCTGTTGCACCGAAGCTTCTCCAAAGATTTCTTTTACCTTGCGTTTACGTTCTTCATCGCTCTTAATCTGTTGTTTTATTTGTAGTTTCGTTAAGAAAGCTCTTCGTATTTCACCCATAGCACCTCTCATTTATTTTTTATACTTGTCTTATTTACTTTTATACTGTGCAACAACTTTTCTCTTTCAGCTTTCTCCTTGGACGTAATCTTATGTTTCTTACCGTCATATCCGTAAAAAATATACGAAACTTAATAACATTCTTGAATTTATAAAACGATGTGGTTTGAAATCGTAAGTTCAATTTTTACATACATTGCTTCAATTCACGGTCCATATAGTCTTAATGGTTTTGGTTTCTTCTTTTCAACCATAATATATTTTAATTTTTTATTCTTTAGTTTTTCCAAATCTTTTCGTAATTGCATAATATGTTTCTTCACTTTTGGTGGATATTTGTCAAAAGAATTCGATTTAAGCAATTTTAAAATTGGTTCGAATATCGAATACACAGCTTCCAGTTCTTCTAGATGATTTTTAAATTCTCCCAATAAATTTACGGCTATTAATAATACCCTTATTTTGAAATCATCGTCTAAGGGTCCGTCTATCAGATCGGACGCTTTCATATAGCTACTACTTGGATTAACATCTAACTTAGATCGATCTTCGTCTAGTATTAATAAATTTTCTGAGTGTTTGATTCTTTTAGAGATTGGTATCGTTTTTATATCTTGAATTAGATGTTTAGGGCTGGATACGTAAATTATTGCGTGTAAGAAATTTATCACACATGGAGCAAATCGTTTACTTAATACCGTATACTGTGAATGTGGATGGAATATTATTAATGTAGCGTATTGCATTTCCACATAATATGTTTGCGTATAAAAATATAACAGCAGTAGTAACAATTACCTCTAATATAAGTGTACATATAAAAAGACCCTTTGAAATATCTATTTTATTTTTAATACGACATCTAAATAGTATTTCGGACATAAATATTGCACAGGCAGTAGTTACAGGATGTCTAAAATCAGACGTTGGAAATATCAAAGAAGCCAATTTGAAGAAAATAAGCTGAAAAAAAAGATTTTTATTAGAAGATTATAATTAATTACCGTTGAAAATATATTTCTAATATAATTACACGTTAAACATACTGTATCTAGGCCAGGGTATTTCTTCTTATCTTCCTCAAAGTCGTCGTGCTTTTCTTTGATTATTCTTTGTATAACAGATTTGGCATTTTGTGGATTTAGATGAGCAAGATCGTATAAGAAAGGAGACAATCTGAAATAAATATGTGTAATATAATGTAGATATAATACAAGTAAATAAATTTTATTAGAAATTTATATATTACCTGTCAATAATTTGGAAACCATTAACTATGCTTCCAACATCATTTCCTACAACATGATTATTTACATGTTGTAACAAAAATAAAAATAAATTTGACAACTTTCCTTCGTCTGTATTATTCGTTGGGCAATGATTACATTTAATTATACGATCTACGATAATCGATTGGTAATCAGCATTATAATTTTGCAAATATTCTTGTAACTCTTCAAACTTTTCTGGTACTTTATAGGTGTAAGGTAATTCCTTCCTTATATTTTCCATGACCTTTCCCTTTTTAAAAGATCTGGGTATTTATGGTTTCTTATCAGTTATCATCAGTTCTTAACAGTTATTATCTGCTGGGACTTTATTATTTACAATTTCTGACATAAAACCATCATCAAGATCATCTGCAGGTTTGTGTTTAATCCCATTGCGATCATAATTAACGTCGTTTTTTAAACAAGGTATATTTCTTTAAATATTATAAACATATACATTTATAAATATACAGTATAATCATGAATTCATAACTTACCCAGTTAAAAGAACGACGTGTTAGATTATCCAATGAATATAAAGCTTTAAAAGCAGGATACAGTATGTTCCTGATATTGCAAATTAAAATAAGACGTCGTTATTCAATTACAATGTTGTTAAAGATTTTATTCGATAAGCTTCTCTTTAGGACTAAACGTGTTACCGCTACCAACATGTATACGGAGAGAAAATGACAGTGCTCACGCTTATGGAAAATGGTTGTCTCTGGACTAGTAGTGCTGCACCATGCGGCCAAGTGCTGAGTTTAATTGACGTTAGCATGTACAAGAACCTATAAAATTAAGGATCTGCCGCGTTTGTTTGTACACTAGCATAGACAAAAACCTATTTCATTGTACGGTTCTATGGAAAAGTTTATATCTATTTTTCTACCCAAAATGGACAAGTGTGAGAATGACAAAATGGCAGAATGACAAAATAATGAAACTAATTATAGGTTGCCTAAGAAAGAGAAATTAATCGTTTACTATATTTTTTATAGAGAGGAAATTTCCTCTCAGCGTTTTCGGTTTTGTGTTTTAGTTATTGACAATTAAAAATCGGTCAAAATATCCCTGCACGTGAGCAAACCTCCTTACACGAACGAAAGTAGGTCAGCCTAAGCAGCGGAACGCACAGGTATCCTCAAATAATAATTGTAACTGTAATAGTAATAACCAACGATTGTTTTTTTAGTTAATTTGTTAAATACGCTTTCGAATGTACTACAGTTGATTTTATAAAAAAAGACAAAGTATGCGCTATAGCTTCGTTATTTGATATTAAATGGACCTTTCAGGGACATGAAAGTACAATCAAGAATACACGAATTCGAGTTTATCGACGAAGAAAACGAAACTTCTCACCTGTCTTTACCTTTACCTGATAAGGCAGATTGCAATAGGCTTCTTTCTGTGAGAGCTATTTGTTTCAGATAAGAAAATAATGCATACATCTACATGATATATCTTTTATTAGGAAGTTCAAAAGAAAAAAAAAACATTTGCTATTACATTTTTTTTGTTTCACACCAATACAAAATACAGAGGTTTGTGACCGATTACTAGTAGTGTTTAACGGAAACGATAATAAAGATAAAGATGGTAATTCTGGTGTAGTCTATTCAGCAGGAAACATTCAGAAAGAAGTTACACTACGTTGAAACCGCGAATAGTTTGACACAGTGGAAGTAGAAAAAATAAAGTGTGTTTTTCCATTTCTTTTAGGAAATTCTTATTTTTTTCGTTGACTCTTCCAATTTACTGGAGCTTTACGCAGATCATTGTTGTTAGACAAGTATATTAAATTGCGCTGGCATTGGTAAATAGAACTGTTTCACAAACAGAATAAAAATGATATTACCAATTTTTCAAAAAGTCATGTCGATCGAAATGGACAATTTAATATACACGCCTGACGACAAAAGCCTATTATAGATTCTTCTATTTACGTATAAATTAGATGTTATTGATGTAAACATTCCGAATCGACATATAGTAATAGGAAAAAATAAAATAAATTTATTATAATTACGAGTCCTAGCTTTAATTTTAAATCGTAAGAACATTTACCATGGAACATTGATTCTTTTTACACTTTATCTTTAAATTTACGAAGATTACACGGTCTGCTGTAATTCGGATAAATTAATGAAAGTATTGTTGTTGGCTTTTGCACCATTTGTATTATTAGGCGGGAAGATCAGAGGATTTAAATTATTGTCCGGCGTACTAACGCTGTGTTTCCGGTATTTCGGTGTTGGTGGCCTTAGATCTGGTTCGGAGCAACCCCTTAACCAGTAAGAAGTTACTCGCCCCTTCCCCTTTAATTCCACTTCACCTCTGAGCTCCAAATCGAATGTTCCAAACTTATCCAATATACATTTTGTTGCTTCAGAAATGTGTATGCGTAGCGCTATATCAAAAATATATTTAAGAAAAGGATTGGAATGAAAGAAACAAAAGGGAATATCAGTGATCCAAAGTGATTCAAAGTTTCTTTTTTTTTTTTAAATAAATTTGGAATTAGAATTAAAATTTAATGATATATCATTATATAGAAATACTAATATCACGAGGTTTTCCGGAAATGATTTAAAATGACTTACGTAGTCCCGAAGACTCCATCCTTGATGCGGTATTTACTGTATCACCAAAAAGACAATAATGTGGCATCTTTTGACCAACTACACCCGCGCAAACAGGTCCACTGTGTACACCGATTCTAACACTGAGCTGTGCATTCTGTTTATGCATTATAGTGAAGGAACGTACAGAATCGAGAATCGCTAGAGCCATCAGGGCAATTTCTCTCACGTGTTCATTGCCGTTTCTTTCTGGCAAGCCGGACACTACCATGTATGCATCTCCTATTGTTTCCACCTTAGTTTAATTATATTACATGTTAGTAGCAATGCGAGCATCTTATTCAAAATTCTAATAATTGCAATAAGTTACGGATATTTATGAAAATAAATTGAATAAAATGGATTTTAATCCATATTTAATTAGAATTTTTCATATTTTCATATTTTTCTGGATATAACTAAAAAAATAAAATCTAAATATAGCGAGTACTTTACTTCGGATGTTTTACACATTTATCACCTTTAAATTTTTCATAAGTTCATAAATATCCGTAGTCGAGCAACAGCTTTGGATTTAGTTTTGGTAATTGATATCGCGAAGTACCTTGTAAACATCGTAGAATTCGATGATGCGATCGAAAGTACTGTAGAGGTCGTTTAAAAAATCCACCACTTCCATTGGTGTACTTTGTGCACAGAGAGCTGTGAAACCAACTATGTCACTGAAATAAATTGTCACGCATTCGAATTGTTCTGGTTGAACCAGCTCTCCAGCCATTAACTGACACGCCACTTGCCTGCGATATTTTAATTATAAATAAACATAGAAATTCTTTTATTCGCGAAAGAAACAGCGTTTAGAAATATTAAGAAACGTAGAAATCTTAAGAAATTTCGGATTTAGAAATATTTTAAATATATCGTTACCTTGGAAGCACTTGATACAGAAGTTCTTCGCTACGTCGTTTTTCTAGACTTAACTGTTCCGTTTTCTCCTCTACAAGGGCTTCTAAATTATTCGCATACTGTTCCATACGTCTTAATAGATCGTCCATTAAATTTTCACAGTAGCCTCTGGAATGTTACGTCATTTTCAGTTTTAGATAAAGACGCTTTGTCGAAGAAAAGAAATTTGTATTTCTTTTTACGGAGAAATACAAGACTTACTTCATAATGCCACGTATAGTTTCGCGAATTGCATGAAATGTTGGTCGTTCTTCTGGGATTTCGTTCCAGCATTTCTCCATAAGGGATAAGATATCGGGTGGGCAGTCTTTTGGTGTCACTTCCGGTCTGAATGATGGCGTTTCTGATGCTGCAACCCGGCCGACGATCTTTGGGCAATTTGTACAAGAATTGTTGACAATATGTAAGCGGGAAAAGCTAATCTAACACGATATAAATATTTCAATACTTAACAATATTAATAGAAATGTATAGCATTAAAAGAAATGTCAGGATGTGGCATGATACTTGAACATGATTACAGTAAATCATAGCAAATCGCGGTAAATCGCATTAAAAGATTAATCTTTATCATTGTTCTGCAAATAATCATAGTGATTAATAGTCATTAATTTTTTTTATTTTTCTGTAATTATCTTTGCAATTATTTTTTTTCTGTTATCAATTTTATAGTTATTTTCTATAATTCTTACTGTAATTGGATATCATACGACATTCTAAAAATTATGTTAAAATTTCTATCGTACCTCTTGGGAAGTCATAAACGATTTCACAGATTCGTATGGGCCACCACGAACCACGATTTCCTCTAGGATGATCGCGAAACTGTAAACATCCCCTTTCTGAGTTGCTGCACTGCCTGGTGTCACGGTTAATGACAACAGTTCCGGGGCGATCCAGAGCAATTCTATCAAACAATAATTGCATAATGGTCAATAACGTTCCATTCATTTTTCATAAACCGGTCTTACGTACTGGTATAATAATTATCATCCATTATTAAGTCAGACGGGGTAGTGAGTGTTTTGAGACCAAAGTCTGAAATTTTTAAAACGAAACGGCCATCGATTAAGCAGTTGCAGGATCGAAGCTTTCCATGTGCTGATACCTCGCTGGCGTGAAGATAAGACATTCCCTGAAAAAATGAAACTCTTTTTGTATTTATAAAATTCTAGTAATATTATGCAAATTTTATTCGAATAGCGATAAATCAGTGAGAAATATAAATTATATGAGTTATAAAACACATAACCATGGAAAGCGGTGACGAAATTTGGGGTAAATATAAATAAAAGAATTTTTAGGTAAATTTGAAATATATTATTATCCGTATTGTTTAATATAGAATTGAAATTCTGCATAGTTGGATGAAATGAACCTGTGACGCAACACGTGCACCTGCTGTACCTTAACGATGTCGTGGATCAGAGACATTCGAAAATTCCAATCCAATTTAATAGCTTCGTTCTCTAGGACGTCTTTCAAGGAACCTCGAGGACAATACTCTGTCAAGATTAACACGGTCGGTGATGGAGAACAGAGACAAGCGCCGATAAATCTGAAATTCGTTTGTAACATTTCATCTAGCGAATGATAGTTTGTTTTCAATATTATAACGTTATGTTGCTACACGATCATATTATTAACATACCTGACAGTATTTTCCGATGTAACGTCTCGAACTTGTTTAATCTCCCATAATAATTTCTTGGTGACGTCAACTACTTTCTTTTTAGTGACTTTTTTAATAGCCACTCTTTCTCCTTTGTAAATTCCAACGGTGGTGAATACCGTAGTTGGAGGTAAGGATTCGCAGCTGAATTGCGATCCACGACGAATACGCTGCTCCAATCCAAAATTCTGTAAAAACAGAGTTGATTTTATTATGTTTTCTTCGTTCGACTCGTCGATATTCACCTCAGCTATCGCTTGGTGTAGATTAATTTTCGAAGAGAACGGTTTCCCTATTTCTAGAAGCAGTTCTTCGGGTCTGATTCTCCAGGACATGTTGTTCAGATCAGCCGACACCCTTAAATGTCTGCAAATATACGTGCATAAATGTTATTATTCTGGACAAAAGTGTATATTTAACACAAATTTCAACACTCTTGGCAAAAAATTCTATACAAAATCGTATAATATTATATATAATATGTAACACTGTATTACGCGATAATGTCTGTAAAATGGAAATATTACTAGCCTGTACAACACACATATTGCGGTAACAGCAACGAGTAGGAACACAACGAGGGCCAAACTGGTATAAGCGACAAAAGTATACGCTTCAGTCCTGGACGTGCAAGAAGGATCGTTTCCTAGAAATCCACACTCCGGAACATCGGCAGGAGGACCTTCTCTTCCTCCGGGCCAATGAATCTTCTTCCCAGCCACGGGACTATATTCTCGATTTAATCCTAAATAGTGCGCAACGACTTCAAACCTAGAAAATTTCGAAGGAATATTAGCTCTGCATAAATTTACAGAACAATATCTAATTGCGGTATACGCGATACATATGTATATATGGTTCGTCAAAATTCTGCTTGGTATTCAAAGTAAATTCGAGGGTTTCACAGTGGCGGCGGTTTTGGTTCGAATGTACTCGGTTGACGGATAGAATAGCGGTTGATTAGCAAACGGATCGGAGGAATGGCTGGCTTAATTGACGCTGACCTTCCCGTGATAGGATCTAAATCCAGGATACTGTAGTCCGCGTCGCGATCTCCATTGTCGTCGATCCTCACGTGCCCCGTAATACCAATGAAGTCTCGGTCCCACATTCTCCTCGTTATCGATATGCCGTCTGTGATATCTCCATCCTCGGACAGAGTTTCGTTCAATGCCATTCCGAGCAAATATACGCCATCGTAGAAAGCTCCGATAAAGAAATTCACCTGGAACGCCATAAGACCTGTTCGTTATGCTTGTCGTTTATTCGATTATTATCTAGTATTATTATTTCATTTTATTCGATGGATTTGTTAAGTTAAAAAGAATTCTTTTAAAATATAGTAAAAGTTTTATTGCGTTTCTTATGTTATTCGATGGATATTGGTTTTTTGGCAGTTTGAAAGTATAACACTATCGTCCGCGAACACTCGTTAAATATTTATTAGTTTAGTTATCTTTATCCGGTATTTATAGGCTAATAGGAATACTAATACCTCTTCTCCTTCCGAGAAAGAATAATTGTAGTCGGTTTGAGCTCTTTGGCGAACAGTGTCAGCAAAATCTTGAAATCTCGGACTGGTTGGTTGTAAAAGAGATACTCTGAGCAGTGCCTCGTACGCTTTTCTAGCAATGGCATCATCCTCGTCGTCAACCTGCCAATCGTGGTCACCCCAATAGGCTCCCTGAATTTTTATTAAAAAGGGAAAGAAATTTGTTTGTCTGTCTTGTATAACACTTCCGTATATGCAAGTTTTCGAATTTGAATTTCAATTCCAATTAAAGCGTTCTGACTTGGATTTTAAATTTGAATTCGGATTGAACATTTCTAACACGCTAATTTTATTCGTCCATATAAATTTCTTCCTACACGTATTTAATGAAATTAATCGCATATTTATTTATATCTGATATGACTGGTCGGCTGAGTGCCGACTGATTTTAATAGTTTCGTAATCTGTAAAGGAAGCTTTGAAGATTCTTCTGCATCGCTTAATTGTGACATTGTTGCACGCTACTTTTATTTCATCTATCGTTGATTTACCTATTTTAGTTCGAAAAATCGATCTACTTTCGCCAAGTTAAAGAATAATGGACGCTTTAAACCATTTTTTCGTACCATAGAAAAAAGATTTTCGTAATTTTCAGAAAAGTATCGAGTTATTAAATCTCTCGTCGATTGGTAGCTTATTAACCACCCTATGTTTAGAAGAGAAACTTTCGTTTTACTTGAAATATTTCAACATCGAGGAACGCCCAATCTCCTCTCGTCATTTCCAAGTCGTGAGCAGCCAACATGAACTTTCTAACCAGAGTTCCTCGAACACTAAGGATCAGCACTGTCGGAAAACGAATGGCGTGTTAATTTCGTTAGAAATGTTAATTTGAAAGAAATCCAGATATATATGTGACGTTTACCTCGTGCATACATACTAGCATCGCGCAAATAATAATGGTACGATTCGTCCTCGGAATTTCCATCCAGTTCTCTCACGAACTTCAACAGCCCTTCTTTTCTTAAACCGTATTCCAAATTTTTCCCGACAGTCCACGAGAACAGATCGGATCTGTCCAATATCAGTGCTACGTGGGACCATCCAAATTCTTTAAATATACTAGAGAATACCAGTCGAAGTCGACACTGGCAATAAGACATCCTTGTTAGAGTTGGATATTTGCTTTTGTCTTTGAAGATTCCCTTGAAAGCAAGAATTCAGGATCGAATGATACATTCTAAGCAACTTTTGAAATATGATTTATACATTGCAGAAAGTTTCCATTTATTTATCTATTGCCCTCTAAAACGGAATTTATAGCTGAAAGATAGATTTAAACTTGACGGATTAAATAAAATTGAAATTACGAAATACAAAAATGCACTTGTCGCTTCTTTTACCTGTGACTTTCAGTTATTTTATTCGCGCGTATGATATACGTTTTAGTTTTATATTAGTCGCGTTAACAAGCGCGCGACTAATTAAGAATACTAACGAAGTCGTAAATAGGGATGCGGTATCAGGAGAAATATCTCATGTTCTCTTCCATCTAAATACTTCCGTTACATGCGATAATTAAGCGAAAAACGCGATCAATTAACTTAACGAACATAGAAGCATAATTACACTCTCCTTACCGAGCTTTCGTTCTTCCATTTATTGATTCTCCCAAGGATACCCGATGTTACGGACAGTTCTTCCTCCGATGGCGGCTTCATTGAATTGAAAATGTCGTAATATGAAAACGAACAGCGTTATGTAAATAATTGTTAACGAGTAGACCACGGATATAATTATATAATTTCATTCGTGTAATTTATGCTATATATATTATCTTCTTTGAACTTTTTATTAACTTTCTATAATTTAGCAGCCGATATATCCCTAAGAAAATGTCTGAGTTATCGTTAGGAATGTGGAGAGATTGGATTTTTAACAATAGATACAAATATCTTCTAAAAGCGTAAAGGTTCGTTTTCTGTTTGTCTTTGACTAGCTACATCGAATTAGAATGATCGATACTTGGTCACCCATTCCAGTGATTATGGGAGTGTTCCAATAGGCGGCGAGTTTTGCCACGGGTTCCAGAGCGAAAGCACAGGCTGGACCGATAAACGCGATCACGTTCGCCCGGAAGTGCATGTCAGCGGCTAAACCTGGTGCCGCGGATCCACTACACGATGGATAGCTGCGAATCATAGAGTTGCAGTTTTTAAAATTACATTGATTAATCGTTAATATATAACCGTATTAACCGTATAATATACCGTATAACTGTCTTTTAAAATTCACAATCCCGTTGAATAAAGTATGAAGTTTATAAAAAAAATCTACGAAACGAAACAAGATTAACGAATAGTTGTAGAATTGTATTGTAGCCTGGCCAATTTATAATTCTATTTTTACATTCATAATTCTACTAGAAATTACGACGAAAAAGAATTCAAAATGGAAATGTATCGAATATTAGAATAAAAAACAAACTTTGCATTTCTTTTCAATGTTTCGTAAATATTTTCATATAACGATTTCATATGTATATCGATATTCTAGGTTTTCTAATATAACTGAGTATCGATTCGAATGTGGATATAAAAGTCTTCCGTTACGAGTGCTGAAATATTTTCGCCAACCACTGTACGCGGCAAACAACGATTTTCTCGTATTTCTCTGAAAATTGAGAAATTCCTTGACAACGAAAAGACACGAAGAAAAAGTTTGATATAACATTAAAAATCTTTTCTTCTTCGTTTGTCAAACATTATCTATTACAAAAGTTGCGAAGCTTGTTTCTTCGTCGTTCTATATACCTCTTTGGATCGATCGAAAGGAAGAAGGTCCGCTTTAACGTGACCTCCCGGTCTACTATTTGTCGGCAATCTTTCAGGATCACGTGTTTTCCTGTGCGCCGTTTTCTCCGCAACACGATCCCATTCGAGTCGACGACGGAACAAAAAGGAAGCGTGGGACAATGGGTTGTAGGAATCAAACAATACCGGGAAAAGGAACAGAGGGCAAACGAGTTGATGGATGATGGTGTTTCGTCGTGCAAACAGGTTGCGATCGAATTACCGGTCCAAGGGAAAAGAGGAAACGATCGAAACAGGGTGTTGTATACGAGAGATATCCCCGGAGAACCCGTGGAACGTTCGTAACGCACCTACGACTCGAATGATCGATAATTGTTGGGGGGACTGGCAGAATGCAGCGTCATTTCAAGTGTAAAGTACCACTCGGAAATAATGATAGATTTAAATCGCACCGTTGAATGGCCAATGATTGGATATACCGGTTGATCCTAGGGATATTATCACGCTCGGTCATCCTTGCCCTTCGCTACCTTCGTTAACCGATTGTGACGTGGATTAATTCGTTCTGTCGGATTAGTCTAATTCTACGTCGTTCGATCGCACAGGGGAAACCTGGCATTCGTTGGGCTTTTATTAGTTTTAGATTTACAGCGAAAGTTTCGTATTCGATATCTGATATTTGGCATCGATATTTTAGTAATCGGTACTTGTTTGGCATTTGCTGGTCTTTATATATAGTTCTTGATATTTTAATATGATAGGGGAAGAACGCGATAAATACATTTCTGTTCGTTTCCCTGTTTAAAAGTTATTTTATGACTAAATAATAGTATTTTAATATGACGTACAATGCGAAATTCGAACGAGCGTCTGCAGCCTACGTTTGCACGTTCGTAGGTCACGTTTGCACACCAGATATACATGCTCGCAGACCAGATACGCACGTTCGCATGTTTGCAGCTCACGTTCTTACACTGAAGGTAGAAAATGAAAACAATCTGTTAGATCCAACGACATAAGCTTTTTAAAAATAGCTCTTAAAGTGACAACATTTTGTAGTAGCCAAATATACAACTATAACTCTGATACTCTTTTATAAAAAATTGAAAACGTTGATATTATTTTTAACTTTTCAAAATTTACTACATTCTCCAATTTTATTCAAATTTCAGACGACTAATCTCGTTTCACCAAACAGTGGTCACGATCAACGAGTCACGGCATCGAAGGCCTGTCTTTTGTGCAAACGGCAAACGTCTGTCCAATTGGATCAATGTAATGACATGGAAGCGATGAGAACGCGTGGTCAAAAGTGAATCAGTTTACACAGGGTCGCGCGTAATACACGCAATCTAGGGCACAGACACTTTATTCTACTTCCCTTATTTTTCTTTCATTTTACGTAAACAGAAGGTCAATCGGTAGAACGCGCAAACAAGTACCAGAAGAATTACGAGCGAATTGTCGGCAAACAAAAATACGACGTAAAACCAACGACTCTACTACGCATAAACATACCTAAACGATCGGTTGTCCAAGGGTCAAGAAACGGAGGCTAGGAAACGTATCGATGGGATATTTTTTACATTCGTCTTACCTTCCTTGAACCTTGCGCAACTTTACGTTGTGCACGCTTAAGAAGTCATTCACTTCGGCCAAAGCCAAGTCGACGGCTGGACCGCATCTCTCCAGATCGAAAGGACTATTCAAGCGAGAAGCCATAAGAACGCCTACGTTGTACACTCTTGTGGAATGTTCATCATACGCTGAACAAACAAATAAAACTGAATTTATATCATTTGAAGATCGCAGTTGTTGTACATTATTGTTCTCTTTTATTTTAATGTCGCTTTAAGATAAAAAAGCAGCATCTTCGCTCTTGCAAATATCAATATTTCGTTGCATATCTATTGGTCTTTTTAAAATCAATTTTGTTACGCTCTAATAATAAAGCACGTATTAATCTTTATCAGCGACTCTGTAATTAAGTTACATCTTGAAAAAGGAACAATCTCTCGATTGCTGATATAGATACGAGTATAAAATATTTAACGAAGCAACCAACTTGCTTACATTATCTGAATTTGATTTGATAAGGACGAATTTGTACATTTTTTCATAATTAATACAGCTTGTTGGAATAAATTAACAATATAAACTCGTATTAAAAAAAAAGTGGTTTATGGACATGTATTTAAACGTGATGTATATCAAACGCCATCGCGCTCAACAGAAACTGGATCGAGACCCAAACAAGTAGAAGAAGTCGTTGTTGTGTCAGCCATCGAAACAAATTGCACAGAAAGTATGTTTATTTCATTCATACGCACAACTGCTTGCTACATCAGAAAAACGAGGGTCGCCAAAGGTTGTATGTTTCTACTAATACTAATTTTTATACTTTTTAATATTTTATCCTTCCACGATCCTTTTCCACTCTTGTACGTATAGTTATCGATGGATCAACGATATTTTTAGTAGTTAAAATATTTTTAATAAAATTATAGCATTTGATAAAAATACTTTAACCGTTAAAAACAAACTGTTGACCTACCATTCATTAAAAAAAAAAAAGAAAAGACTGACGTGCTAGAATATATTTATTCGATCGTCTATTTAATTAATACGAATATTATTTAAAAAATTTAATAGAATATTTTAATCTTACCTGGAGTAACGTTGACAAAACCCATAGTCTGAGAAATCACTGCGATTACCAAAAACTTCGTACTCACGGACAACACCTGTTTGCATAAACTATTCTCCATTCTTCTCTGTTGCGATTATTTCAATAGTACAAATCGTTACATTCGGTTAATAAGAATTATTATATTTATAGCAGAAAAAGTTGAAATTAAATAATTATTATTAACAAATTCGAGAAACTTCTCTTTTATTGGATTAGTATAATTCTATCATAACTTTCGCGTAGCGTATCGCGTGACGGAACACCGGTTAGAACATATCTAAACCACCCCCGAAGAAGATTCACCCTTATATACCGATTGATATAACGCGTTCGTGTCACTTCGTCAAACATTTGTTAGAAGATTTAATGCCTTGGATGTTAGCACACGTGTGTCTCTTTTCTCAGGGAATCACGGCAAGTTACGATAAATTGTGTTGTACGCGAGCAAAATAAACTGGAATATATGCATTTCGAAGATTTGGTACATGCGCCTTGACGATTAAAGCAGGCTATGCCTGTTGCTTCTACGCATGCCTCGTGATCCCACCTTTCGATATTTTATCCAAAGGACACTTTTTCTCGTTGTTTAGGAATAGTGGAATATTTATTTCCATTTACTGGAGGAACTTCGATATTTCCCAGACGAATATTCTTTCTCCTCTTGAGCGACGAGTTCTTCGTCCAGGAGGAGCTCGAAATTCCCCAATGCTTCCGGTGGTGGACATTTGTTCCATCTCACGCTGTGTACAATCGTGTTTTGATTGAAATAGGAAAAATCGAGTTTTTAAAAATAAATGAAGATTACAGGAGAAACATGATAACTCATATTTTCCATCTTCCATAGAAGACCAATTTTTAAACTCGATATATTGTCAACCAAATCCACGTTACTATCGTTTTATTTGATTTTGCAATTAAATATATATTTTTCTGATCTTCATTGAACGTTTTGAAAAATACTTATAGCACTAGTAGTAATACTAATTAATTTAAACTAGTGTAACAACTAATCTAGTATTCGTTTCTTACAAAATATCATAAACCTATCTTCTACTTTCAAAAGGTTTATATCTTCAAATTTATCAAATTTGTTTCCAATTTTTACAACTACTTTTTTCTTTATCCCGTAAAGGAATTTTCTTCAAATGTGACACTTACTCTGGGACACCCTCAGGTGGTACGACGATTGAAATTATGTTGTCGATTAATTTGTATTTTAAGATTCGGTCGTTTACTGTGGTGGATGTCAACGACGGAGATGCGTTCACCTGTAGGAAATGTAGGAAAGATTGGTTACCAGAAGAAGAAATAAGGTAAATGATACTAAATACAGTTAAATAGTGAAAGGATTATTAAGAAATTGAAGAACCTCGATAAGCCACGGTTTAAGATCATTATCGATGATGATGTCATAGCCGTAGCACTCGAAGCAGTGTCGATCGTTTGCCATAACTGGAGCGACAGCTTTCAAAGAATGCACGATGCACCAAGTGATGTTTGCGAATAGCTTTTCCGTGACCGCTTTCCCACGCGTGCTTTCCAAGTATAATCTCAAATTGTGCACGCTTAATTTACCACCATGCTTGCTATTATATTCTTCCTGGAATATTCGCATGTTTTCAGAACTCTATGTTGTTCTCGTTTAGTTTTTCTTATATTCCGTTCTCGAATTTTTATACATTTATGCAAAATTTAAATTGTGTAAAAGTGTTTATAAAAATATGAATTTGCATTAAAATCCGCAGTCTATTTATATTTATATATATGTTTCCTTTCTTTGTAGAAACAGAAAAAATTCACTTACACCATGCTTTTGCACAGACACGTTCGTGAGATGAACATACATATTATCTAATTCTTGAATACTAGTGTCGTACTTGACTGTACAAAATCGGCAAAATCCTAGTTTGAAGAGATACGCTTTTAATGGTCGAAAAGACGTAATAAGAACGTATAGCCTCAGATCAAACTTTTTTCCTCCTATTAGAAGCGGATTGTCAATGTACCTATGTATTTATTTTGAAAATAGGAAAATATTTTTCATTTCAACGTTCTTCATTTAAGTTATGTTTTAATATTACTAATTTAGCGTCTATACATTTATAATAAAACTGTAAATTTTTTTCAAAAAGCCCCTCAATTTTAACATAAATTAGACGAATTGTAGAGAATCATCTTGTACCTGGATATTACATACGATTCTTTCGTTAAATTTGGATTGAATGGGTTTTTTGCTTCTCGAGACCATTTCTTCAGTTTACTTAATTTATTGATTAGAAATATTCCAGCGCCTTGTGATTTGCCGCACGGTTTCATAATCCACGTGCTTTGTGGTGATTTTCGGTACTCCTCGACGAACATATTGTAGTCTAAAATAAATTTATCTTACTAAGTATTTCAACTATAATAATAACTCATTATATACAATGGCACCGATATTAATATTCGGAAGCCATATATATTTATAATACATTATGCAATATTACAACAATATTTTACCTGCCGGTAAAACAAACGTGATAGGTATGAAATCGAGATAAAGGTATTTTCCCGGGCCATCTCCTCTTTCCGCTAAAGGATTTCCCTCGCGCTCCAATTCTTTTCGGTAGCGTTTTATATTTTTCACCAACAAGTCTTTTCGAGTTAATTCGTAATGATTCGGGAAATGATTAATTATTCTACAAGTTGAGATACTACTTAAATATTAGCCATAAGAAAATTGTACGAATATATTGTGTGTATCATACAGATTTTTTTTTAGATCTGATCAGCGTTATAATAATAAGATACGACTATGACGATTATATTGTTTAAAGTTTGGAACGAGTATGAAAACGTACTTAAAAGTTGTAAATTATTTGCTGCAAACTTATACTTGATAAAAAATTAGAATAAAACATGAACAATAGTTTTAAAGGTAGAATTAGTGGTAAAGATGATGTCATTAAATATTATTATTCATGTAACAAATAACTGCATATACATGTTCAACTTCGTTTGAAATTTCATCAATTAAATCACGATAGTGTCGTATCCTATTATATTATTAATGAAAATGGAAAGTTTTGTATGATACACATAATTCAGGATGTTCATAAAAGTCTTATACGAGTGTTAGATACTTTCGTGCGTCACTAAATATAAAATGAACGATGAATATTTAAAAATTGTATTATGTTTTAACAAAATGGATATTTAACTGTTTGTCGTCCATCCTATATCCTGTTTCTACACTGAATATATTCCTGCACGATTGCGTAACTGCCCTAAAATAATTTTAAAAGCTTGCGTTACTTTTCTTAATTCATTCCTTTTGTAGAATTTTCAAATGATACAAATCAGTATAAAAACATTAGGATAACATAATTTTATCTCTTACTTCTTTTCCTTCGGCAAAATAAAAAATAATTATTACCAATAAAAATTCCAGTCATCCTCCGGACCAACTTGAACCCATCCCCTCTTCTCGAAATTATGTACTATTACAGATTTATCCACGTCCGTGCAAAACGTCACTTTCGTTTTGTCCGTTCCACTTGCCGATACTCTGTAAATGTTTAGAACTTTTCTAGAAGAAGAAAAAGATAGCTAATCATTTGCTTTATTCCGTATTGTTTAACCCTTCAGGGATAGCACGCGATTCTTTTCGTAGGACCGAATATATAAGATAAACAACCGAAGGTATAAACACCATCGAAAATACGATATACGATACGCTTTACAAACGGAGAACTACAACAGAGATAAGCAACAGAGATAAACGCATAGTCCAAGGATACAATAGGCTGGGGTCCGAAAATAGCCAAACAGTCCGTGCACATTGTACAGACACCATCCTTGATGGGTTAAGTCTTTTTCTTAATGTTGCATCACATTCGTTTTCGTTCTTGTTTACCTGCCGTGATTGTTAGATACGCTTAAATTTGTGACACGTTTATTTTCAGCTATTGTACCGGACGCCATGGTTTTCGATGAGAAAAGTTAGATCGATTCACCGTGGATACGCGAATTTTGAATGCATCCAGTCCCCGCGCATCAGGAATGTGATAAACAAGCGATAAAAATGAATCCGGAATAAAATTTGAGTCAGATACGCTTTATGCTTACGGTCAGATACGGTTACTCTTTCACATTTAATTTACGGTATATTACTACTTGTACTCTATTTTCTTCTTAACATAATTCTGCGTAACATAATTCCATAATTCCTCCACGCTTATTTAAAATTCAAATATTTTAGAGCATGCGTTGTTAATATTATTTGATCATAAATCGCATTAATATTAATTATATTATTTACATATAATCGCAAGCATCGACAGCAATGGCACACTGAGATATTTTTGATTCCGAACAGTAAAAGATATAAACGACACACAAATATATGAGAAATATTTTTCCAAGAAGAATACAAATTGAATCTGTTTAGTAATGCTATATTTAACATAATTTGAATTTGAACAATGAACGAATAAAGAAAAGACAATTTTTGAAACGTTCACGAATGATTCTCATAACTTCAGAAATGATTAATCGATTACTACATACCTGTATATTTCTTTGAAAAACAATAAAAATACCTGTAAAATATTACGTCTTAAATATTCGACAACTTACAAAATAGGAAACAATTAAATTATAAAAAGACAATGAAGAAATATTACGCTGTTGTATAGATTATTGTTGTTAGCCAATTTATAAAAATCATCGAATTAAAATGTAAAGGTTACCGCCATTTATAAATATCATTGAAAAACTTACTCAAAGCTTCTTTAACTTTCTTTTTGAATATCTAATTTCAGAATCTTAAAGTAGATACCTTAAAGTATTTGAATGATTTTTTCCAAAATCCCTTAAACAAGTAAACGCGTGAAAAATCACATCGAACCTTGGAGACATTGTATCATATTGGGATTAACAAGGTCTCTATATATGTAAACTTCTAATTAAATCGATCAATGGGTCGATTATCGTTTTACCTTCTCGCCATGTCTATTTGCGTTACAATATACTCTCAATCTTAAATCGATCATAATTTTCAAAAGTTTGACCGTTTTTATTACAGAATAATCCCTGCGAGAAGAAACGATTAATTTGGTTATACTGTGACAAATCAACACGTTCGATCAAGCTCGAGTGGTTTGACTTCACGTTAAAAGACAACCGGCAGATTTCAAGTGTGTTTACATCGCTCTTATTTTCTTTTTCCTATCTGCCTCGATTGTACGTTTCATGTATCAGAAACCCGCTAGCGTCACAGTAAGAAAGACGTATTTGATCGTTTAGCTTTTCTATTCGACAAAGAAGTTATTTCACATTTGCAATACTTCCAAATTGTGTTGTTGTCAAATAAATTCATTCTTTTGAAATTTTCGACTGTCCTTTTAATCCGTGTGATCATATTTTATAGTGGTTTATTTCTTATTCGCCGCGTCGAAAAAACAGGTAACTTGAAAAGGGTATGTATATTAAAACAAATTATTATACTGTATGAAGATATTTAAGATTTAAGAAGACATAGTATAAATATAAAGGGTTTTATAAATTATTTTATTTTGGATTTTTGTTGTTATCATTGACAAGATTCATTTTCTGGGACTTGTAACATCCTCTTACACGTGTTAGATACGTAGATGCGTAGATGCGTAGATACGAGATACGTTTTATTTTGTTGAAACGATACGAATTAAGCGTTAAAAGCGAGTCACAAAGAGACGGTTATTACTTGCGAACCGGAAATTAAACGCTGCTTGAGAGCACCAAAAGCGTCGTGGCTATACGAGTGAATCATATTTGCGCATAGGTATTCGTGTCATGAATTTATCATTCGAAATGCGTCTTTCATTAACTCTATATTTATTAATGTGAACCAAACGCATTTTAGAAAGTATTAATTAAATCGAAACGAGTTTTCTTTTGTGCTCTGTTTGCTATAATATTGGACATATTTCATAAGGAACATACATATTGTTCTTATTATATGTATATTATACTATATGTATTATATTTGTTATTATTTTGTTAAAAAATATTTTTATTGTAAATATTAAATAGTGAACATTGTATGATTTAATTAGGAGTAGACAGTCAAAATGAACGTCAATTTGAATTACAATAATTATGAAAGAAGAGTGGCCAGAGGAAGAGGGATAGCTCGAAGCAATTTACCTGCGAATAGGTGCCTTTGCCATAGACCATACACTATCGTGTTATGTAATGTTTGTGGTTACTGGACAAGGGGCAGAGTACGTTACTTTTGTCCAATTCATCCACAGGTATGTTGTCTTTGATATATCATACTTTTAAACAAAGTACAAAGCGAAAGAAATCATTTGCACCTACTCTTTCTATCTAAATTTTCATTTTACCCTTTGCAATTATTAGTTAATTTCTCCTAATTATTTAATCCTTTCTTACAGGTAGTTTTTTTGTTTGACATTCCACAATGTCCCCAATGTAAATCTTATGGTTTTATGTTGAGCGAATATTGAATCATCTGAAAACAGAATGTATACCTTGCATAATAGTATATGAATTACATAATAATACGTAATACATTATACTATACATATACATGCATATACATAATAATTTATTTTGTTACTGATATGTAAGTATACATTCTACATTTATTTCCACAATTATTTCTAGTACAATCATGAAGTATGTGTAATATTCTGTTATATAAACAATCATCTCAATACTAATTTATGTTTTCAATTTGTTATTGAAATTTAGATGTATATCTGTATTTACTTTGAGTATTTATTTCAATCATTTCTAATGCAATCACCAAATATTTATATTAAGATATTGTAATAGATGTAAGAATAAAAGAGGGAAAATGCAGATTAATTTGATTAACATTAGACTTCATTTATTGTTGTACCAGACTAGCAAATTTACGTTTTTGATATTTTACGTTATGAACCAACTGGGAAAACCAGGTGTTTTGTTCTTTTTTGCAAAGTTCTTAAAGTTCTGTTTTACTTGTAGCAATGCTTTGTCACTTTTATCTTCTGTTTTTTTGGGAAATATATCCGGAAATGTAAATGTTTCGGTCTTAGGCTGAAATCGTACAAAATGTTAATAACGAAGATATATTTCTGTTAAAAATTGAGTTTTTATTTTAATACTTACTAGAGTAACATAAGCTATTTTCACGTCATCCTCTTTAACAACAAATTTAATACCTGTAGGTGAATAAGTTCTTCCAAGAGCAATCCTAGTACGCACATGGACAGGATGTATGTTATAAATTTTTTCTAAATAATTCTTCACATCCAATCTTGTCATCTCCATAGAACAGTGAAACTCTACTACATTTTTTGGTTGGTTATGTTCTGGTTTTACAAGCTTTAACCAAAAGTTTGGAAGAAATATTCTAAGTTGTGGATTACCTTGCTGGTACAAGGGGTACCTGTTAAAGTAGATAAAATCATGTCAATAAAATATAAAATAGTTAAACGATTCATCTTAACATACAATTTTTAAAATGCCTTCTTAAATTTCCGTTTCATTCCTTTATAACAATAATATATACTTACCAACGAGTAGACATTTTATCTCGTTAAAAAGATCAAAAATTTATTTGTAACAGTAACAATTTTGTTTATAATATCAAACTTCTGTATCTTAAATATGTATATATCACAAATAAACAATGTTCTGTAATCAATACATAAGAGGTTATGTTATATAGGTTATGTCATAGCAGAGAGGGAATGAAAGTGCTCACACTCGTAGTTCTAGTTGCCTCACAGCACAGACGCTGCACCATAGAGCCAAATGCCGAAGGTGACCCACACTGGATATACAAGAATCTACAAAATTAAGTATCTGCCCTGTTTGGTTGCACGTTAATATACACAAGAATTTGTCGTATTCCACGCTGCAACCTATTTAATTGTACGGTTCTACGGAAAGGTTCATATCTACTTTTCTGTCCCAGATAGACAGGTATGAATTTTTTAATAATTGTCATTATAATTATGCATTTATTTTTATCTGTATTATTGAATTTTATTAATTTTTACATTTTTAACATATTATAGTAACCATAAATGTTACTGTCTTTATATTATAAATGTGTTCTATCAATGTTAATAGACATTGTAGTCTGTAGAAAAAAGTAAAATGATATATAGTTTTTGACGCCAATTTTAAAAAATTTACAATTAGAAACATTGGTTTCGATAATACAATTCTTCAAGAATATAAAAAGTGCCAATCGGCTGTTGTGTGACTTCCGAAAATTGTAGAAATTAAGGTCTGCGAAAATTACTTTTCAGTTGTTAAATAGCTTTACAGAATGATAAAAACTACATTTTCACAAAGTTTCAATTTTTCATTCTCAAAATATGTTTGGCAAAATATAGGCGCCTCTTGCATTTTAGATCTAAAACAAGTTTAATGTTTATATTAATTTATTTCATTTTATACTATTGTAGGTATATTTATAACAAAATAATATATTGATTTCTTGATCAAAGCAATGAATCCGCTCGTCTGATTGAAATCGATTTCGATAGAAATCTTCTTCGTTTAAATTTTTCATCCGTTCGCGCTCTAATATCTAATCGAGAGTTGTAGTTGATTCGATAATCGATTTGTACGAAACATTCAGCTTTTGAACCGATTCAGTGCTATAAAAAGGACGTTCAAGTGTATTTCGGCAATGACTTCTTTCTTCGGCTAAATTAACAAGAATATGGTTCACGATATTGTTTCGCAAACACAAAACGGTGTTTTAAAAACGAAACGCGTCTAAGAAGATTGCTATTATTTTGAGAAAGTAAAGGGTTAGACCGAAGATTTTCAAGACTTTTGTTGATGAAATTTTGAATCGAAGATGAGCTGCGATTTGCTACCAGAATGGCTGAATCTTTTCTTGGACGACGTAGAAACTACTTTATGTTTACCGATATTGATCATCATGGTTCTTTGTACCGTTCAATTTATAATTAATCACGCTATGGATATTGGACTCACCTTTTATCAAAATGTAATGCAGAAGTCGGATGAAGACGCAGGGGAAGCTGGAAAAGAAAAGGGCGAAGATTTAATGAGCAAGATCAGAGGTTTTACTTTCGTATTTTTCTTAGACCTGGAAATATTTTTTTTTTGGAGTGACATTACACAGGGTGCTTAGTAATCACGCTATTTGGTAATTAGTTAATATCATGTATACTAAACGAATGTATATTCAAACTCAATTTTACTCAAAAACGAAACATTGTACGAAGAAATTTTATTCTGTATTTACGATTTATTTCTTTACGTAAATTTACTACCTTACCGATTGTATCATGGCTACTGAGATACGCCGTGTAAATTATTTGAATATTATTTTCTATAAAATAATAATGGTGTAATATTACTATATACATATATATATGTATATATATAGTAACATTTCTATAATTGTGTATGTATATTAAATATTAATGTAAAATAATTACTTCTCTTGTAGGGTTTTTATGCGACATTTCTTGCGGCTTTAATAATTCTGATTCGAAACCGGATGATTACCCAGCAGCATCGTTGTTTAGGTCAAACTCACAAGAAGAGGAATGGGATTATTGCGAGGAAGACGACGAAGATAAGTGACAAATATGCATCGCAGGAAAAATTACGCTCTTAATCGATAAGTGCTACAGTAAAACTTTTATAAGCATGCATCCCAAAAACGTTGATTTCGAAGTGGTACTATATTAAACTCAATAAACGGTATATGAAAACTAATACGATGAAATTAATAATAAAGAGGAAACGAGAATGGATCAGAATTACAGAAAGTAATTTTTATTACTTGTTCCTAACTTTACTTTGGATTACTTGTTTTTAATTTAGAGATTCTATAATTTTATAAAAAATAAAACTTCTCAGTTACATGTAAACGAAGAAACGCGGTATTTTTTTTATACTGTGTAGAAATGCTTACTGTTTTCTTTATTAACATTTTATTACGTCGAATTATCGATAGCCTGTCAGTTCAAGGGTTCAAAACTACAAAAAACCAAGTCCAAGTTGTGATTGTTCGATACTTTTACTTTGTCTCTCTTTAATGAAAATTTAGTGAATGTCAAGAAAGAAACACGCGTACAAACAGCGTATTTGAACACTCGTTGAGCCTCGATCCAGCTTGTCGATCTAGGGATATATCTCTCAGCATAGCGATTCGCACGGAAAAAATTTATCTGCAAGACTGGGTTTGGTTCAGTACGATACCGATGATGTACCTTTGAAACATTTCATTCTCTTTTTCTCATTTTCCATGATAAATTTCACCGTTCAACCACTCACTTATATGATAGTTTTATTCGTACACTTGCTTATTCGACTTTGTATTAAAATTAAGCGGTGTTCGAAGTTCGATTAAAATGAGTCTCTTAAAAGTTATACTAGGACAGACTGTCTCGTAACTGAGCACGTCTTTTTTTCTATATTTTATATTCATTTGTCTTTTTGTAACAATATTAATTGAACCGCCTGTCAGGCATATTTTTAAGGCTGTGTCTTTCTTTCGTTTTTCGCATTATCTCTTTCTCCTACGTCTTCTAAGGGATAAATAAAATATTCTAACAAATATAAAATTATCAAATGCCTGTCGAAATTATATATATTATTCAATTAATTATACAACTATTTATTGATGAATAATTAGTTAACTTTTGTTAAATTTCAGTTTTTTCGTACGAATAATTTATTTTCGATTGTCTTACACGTGGTTATTTAGGAAAGAAAAGAAATGTTCTTTGGGAGAAAGAGACGATGCAGCGGCGTATGTACATTTCGATAATTCACACAACTTGTACGAAGGAAATCCGCCCGTCTCGAGTAACCTAGCAACGATAATGATAAGAAGAAGAATATCAGCAGCGATAAGAATATTAAATAGTATTATAGTAACAGTAGTTATAATGTAAATGGTAGAAATCTAGTGTCTTTCGTGATGGCGAATAACCCTAAAAAAACCTCAGAATTCGCGGATTTTCGTTTCAGACACCTTCGTTGTTCGAAGATCGTGTCTTGGAGCCTGTAAATCCGTACGCGAGCATTTCACTCATGTTCCTAAGATTTTTCTCTAAAAAATGTTCTCACTTTATGCTCTTCGTACTCTTTTTCTTTTCTCACAAAATACGATGAAACGGTATAATTATAATCATTTACGAATGTCCTGTCTCTCCAATCAGTTTTATTTCTCTAGATCACACAGGAGAAACATACATATTCCTAGATACATAATTCTTTCCTAATTTTAAATTGCCCCTTCCCTGCCTCATTGATCAACATTGCCCATGCATCTACATAATATCCAAAATAATTCCACTTTCATTTAATTTCCACCAGAAACCTAATTACCTTTTTCCCGGCACAATCGAAACACAGAACACTTCATCCGACTTAGATTTTTTTTTTCACAAAATCACCCATGATTGCAGCGTCACATGAAAACGTTCTCCAGCCCGGAAATATTCTTCCTGGTGGGCGTGGAGGTGGCACAGTTCACACCCTCGTCTTCGAAGGTGACCATCTTCTCGCGACTCCTGGTCGCGGTTCCGGAACATTCTAATAACCTGGGCTGATTCAACGACGCTGAATTCGATGCGGAACCTATCGGCGGTGTTAGAGCCGAGGAGGGCCGTAAGACTGACGAAGGAGGCGGTGGTGGTACAGCCATGTCCGTGACCGCCGCTGCTGCCAGGTTGAACTCGCTCACGCTTCTAGGCACGAAGTACTCAAAATGTAAAGAACTCTCCTGCTGACGATGTTGATGATGCTGGTGATGATATTGCGTTGGAGACAAACAACTGCGTCTCAGAGACTGGGCGCGTTGAAATTGTTGAGTCGACGAGTTTCTGGATTCAGACGGCGTTTTCTTTCGTGGTAGAGAATGATGACCAGGCGATGGTTTTATGGCAGTGTTGGACGTGTGGGCCAGGAGTTTCCCATCCCCGGGACTCCTGGCCTGATGCTGTCAGGAGGTTGGCACCATGGACATGGCGATCGCTTCTTCTTCTTGTTCGGACAATCGCGAGTCACTGGTGCCTCCTCCGTCGTCCAGGTCGGCCTTGAGCCCAGGACCGGCACCTGATGAAGAATTGAAGGATTTTATAACTTTTTGGTTGCGATGGATAGAGAGTTTTCGGTCTTTGGTTTGATTGAAATGGATTTTGATTTCATTTTGGCTTTTTTAAACGAAGGGGTTATGCAGAGTGGTCAAGATGCCTGATCGAAATCCCCGACGCGAGTGGATCAGAACCGCTCTACGTGCAAACGATTGAGAGCTCGACTCATTTGTTCGTGATGCCTTTGACACTTTGAGCCTGGGTTCGGTTGGAAACGAAGCTTTCGCTGTTGGGGTGGAAAACTGGAGTTTCGATAAATGGAGGGCGAAGAGAAGGTAACTGCTTATATTATTAGACGACTTTTTAATAATATTTTTGAAAATATCGAAGATCGTTGTAAGCTGTAAATATCTTAGAATTTCCCTTAGGATAATATAGTGGCATTTTTGAGAAGATTCAAGATCACAGTAAGCTATAAATTTCTGTGTAACTCTTTTACAGTGATAAGCAGAAGTTGAAATATTTAAAATTCTTATGAGTCTTTCTCCAAGTCTACCACACCAGGAAACGTGATGGGATCAGACCTGGCGATAACATTACTACCGCCATATAAATAATGTTTTTCGTAAACAGTATTATCTATATTCATACAATACTGCCACGCATAATATTACGATTAAGCCACTGTATAACACTATGTTTAATAATTGACTATAAATTCGCAGTTCTGTATATAGAAATAGTATGTTTCGTCGCCAGGCTCAAAGCGTTCAGGAAATTTAAAGCGTGGCCGGGTAAAATAGTTTCTCGCCCGGAACGATCTAGCGGTTCCCCGTCGAATGCCTGCATCAGGGATACCTGTACCACCGATAGGTCCGACCACCACCCCCGACGACATGCCGCAGGTTCTACCGAAGACCCTGACCACGCGTACCACCTCCTCCTGGACGAGGTTGAAGCACATGGCGATCAGGCCCATCCCGGCGAGTATGTAGAGCGAGCAGGCGCACAGACTGAGTTCCTCCAGGGTGGCGGACGCGGCATTTCGTCCAACGGGCATCAGGTCGCCGAAACCGATCGTTCCGAGGCTGGTGAAGCAGAAGTAGCCACCTTCCAAGAGACTCCAACCCTCCAGACGATTGAACATCACTGCGCCACCGCATATGTAGATCAGCATGATTACTAGACAGAGACTGATCGGTATCCTCACGGGATTCGTTTCCACTACGTAACCTGGCGACGAATTCGTCGACAGGGACAGCGAGCACGGGTGAAAATGGCGTTTACTGTTTCCTGATGTTACGTCCTGGAAAAGATTAAAATGTTTTTTACCATATCTTATATGTTTTTATATTTTTTTAGGACATTATATATGTATGTTTCAAAAATGACGCAACTTCAACCAATTCCTCAGGAAAAGCTAGGAATTATATGGAATAGATTATACCAATTGGGATCAAATACTAGTTGTAACTTTTTAATACCTAGTTCTTGAAATCTTTTTTTGATGGTTTTGTTATTTGTGTTAGAAGAATGCTTGTGATTAAAATTTATTGGTGTGTCAGAAGATTTGGAAAGGTATAACGAAGACACATGGGATGTCTCATAGTTTTTCTCTATTTGGTATAGAACTGGAGTCCCTCTATTCGTATTACTTTACATTCGGTTAAACTTAATTTGTTTGCTTTTTGTAATCAATTCCGTCGATCATACGTATATGTAACTTTTCTAATTTATTCTTATATTTTTGCTTGTTCCAGAAAAATGGCTGATCATTCTACAAACAACATCTAGTGTCCTCACCGCAGGTGCAGGTTGACCATATTTCCCCAATATACCGCTACTTTCTACTGTGAAATCATGTTTTTCGAATGAAATATGTTATACCTGAAGCGCTGCGGTGGAGCTGGTGGTAGCATGAAGCAGTCCCTCGCTTCCACAGTCCAACAAGATGGCACTGCTGGTGCCTCTGGTTCCTAGATCGTCGCAGGAGCTTTCTCTGCTAGCTGAATAGTAATTTCCAGATTTCGAGTCGACATGGTTATCATATCTGTAGGTTTTGCTCATCATGCCACCTACAGGAGGTGGCGGTGGCGGCGGTTGTTGCTTCCTGGTGCAATTTCGAGGCCTGCACAATCTGCCGTACAAACGACGGAAGCTCCTTGAGAGAACATCGCCCACCGTGCTTAAATAGACCAGCATTAAGGGAATTCCAGCCAGAGCGTACACTATTGTGATTAAACGACCCCAGACTGTGCGAGGCGCCACGCTACCGTATCCTGAAACGCCAATGATAACGATTGTGTTACAATCGACTGTTATCGAGGGAACAACCGAGGATTGATTGAATATGAGAGCGTTTATTAGAATGTAATGGGTGTGTTCTCAGTCAATTCAAATTGTCACATAAATTGAAGCTTCCGACTAGGTGTTATGTTACCTTTGTAGCTCAATTTTTGTACAATTTATTGGTACGCTTGTTTTCTGTTTTATTTTTGTCAATTTTTTATCAGATTATAGATCATATTCCATGAGTATTAACCTGTTAACCTGGAGAAACAAGTTAACATTAATATATTTAAGTTATAAACTTTTAATTTATAATAAGTGGTACGTTACATGAAATATTGTATAATGATACTAATATATTCTATATTTTGTAAATATTGGTAATCCTTACCAATAGTAGTGATCAGCGTCAGGGAATACAATAAACTGCCACTAAAGGTCCATTTTCTATGTGATCTTCTGTCCATGGAATGGTCCCTGGATCGAGAGGATGATCCTATCGGTTCGTACTGCGAGGAAGTTCTCCTGAGACCTCGTGCCAAGTTCTCCTGAAATTCGAACACTTCCCTGGCTGCTAATCGTGTCCAGTTTTCCTTGTACAACACGTTCAAGTCCTCTGTGATACTCCAGAGCCTTTCAACGGTGCGCGCTCTTAGTTCCATGGCCGCAGTGTCATCCTCGATACTGGGCACAACGTACGATCCTCCTCCGTTCTTGGAACCGGGAATGAGCAGGTCGTTCCCTGAATCCTGCCATGGAAAACAAATAGATTTTACACATATATGTATAATCCATACATATGGCCTTTCTGAAAGAAGAAAGTACAAAATCACTTAAGGATCACTAGGTTACAAATTAATTTTGGTTTGTTTTATGATAATTTATACACAAGATTTTTAGCAATTCTCTTCCTTTCCATTCTTTTCATTACGTATAACGCTCCTTAACATAAAAACTTTATTTAATATGAGTAAATTTATACAATTATGATACCAGACTTCTAAAGAGCTTTTGGACAAGATAACGTTACCAAAGAAGCGATGACCTACCGACTTGAGGCCACCTTCCAGCGCCATGAACGCGAACGCGCCCAACAGCGTGTAACCCAGCACGAGCACGCAGACACCCAGACTGGCCAATAATCCCGGTGTCTTGGTAGATGTTGCCGTACTGCAGCTACAACAACAGCACAGCAACTCCGCTCCCCGGACAGAAGCGTTGATCCTCAACGCGTCCGCGTTTGCGTTCGCGTTCCTCCCTGGACAGCATCTCGGCGCCCTCTGATAGTAGTCGCCTGTGCTCTGCATTATGTTTTAGCCACCGTCTGCACGCTGCTACCGGCAGCCTCCTCGTCGCCGCAGCTGCAGCTGCAGGTGCAGCGACCGACGCCGCAGCTGCAGCCGCAACCGGTCGCCTCCTATCGTTCCACTATCCTCCCTCGAGCCTCGTCCATTTGGTGCGCTGGCAAGCCTGTCGCAGAGATTACCCGTGATCCCATTAGATCTTGTCGCTTGCAACTATATCGCCCTAAGGCTCTGTGCAGACGAGGAATGCGACGTCTCGCGCCATTCCGATTTCATAGCGCTGACGCTACACAATTCGACAAGTTTCAATTTTTGATACAATCTGAGCGTACAATGGAAAAGCTTCTGACTAGACTGCACACATATGTAAGTATAAAAGTTTATATTTTTGCTAATATAATTAAAATATTGGAACGTAAGTGGGAGATTGTTTTGTATACTAATTCTCAATTAATATCTTGGATTTTCAATCCTCGATAGGTCGTTAGTACAAAACTAAATTTTTCAACGCTCGAGTAATATAAAATTATTCAACGTTCGTTATTATTTGTGATCTAACGATATTATTGTTATAACTTGCATACATTATTCAGTTTGTTTTCTAAAATGCTTGTTATGTATATTTTAGAAAAGGAATTTTTGTTATCGAAATCGTACAGGCAGAAAATTATAGAATCGGTTTTGACAAAACTGGTTTACGTGCTGACATTTTTTGTCGAGTGAAACTTTGCAAATTATTTGAACTTCGAGAGTACTTTCCATTTCTCTGGAAAAGATAATATTCATATTACATAATCTACTATATAATATATGCAGATAATACGTAATTTTTGTAAAATTTCCACAATATCGTATGTCTCGTCTGCACCAAGTTTAATTGCTTCTTATTGGTACCTCAGGGAACGCGTGAGAGAGTGTACTTCTGGTATAGGTGTCGATGATGAGTGGTGACTATGGTCACGTGGCACTGGAGATGCGATCGGGTGACGAGTGTGAGCTCAGGAGGATGTGATTAGGTGTATGAGCGACGACGCTGCGGTGGTTAATTAAGGGGAATGTAGAGCTTGATTGGATCTTGGTGGATTTAGGTGGCGAGTATGTTTAGTGTGTTTGAGATATAACGAATGTGTTTGAATTTTGAGCGGCATATGAACATTAATTTGCATTTCAGGAATGTATTTTGAGAGTGTGACTTGATCTACGTTATGGAAGTTGGAAGAGTGATGTATGATTACGTCTAAAGTTTCAAGATGTTTTCTTGGAGGCAAGTATGTTTTCCATGATCTAATGTATCACCAAAGAGAATATATTTACATAGAAATATATTTAGATCTATCGTAAATTAGAGACTGGTTGTTTTAGTGGTATGCATTCGTACACGTAGGTTATACAACATTTCTGTTTGCTTACATTCTGTATTTGTTTGCTTACGTTCTTGGTTTAGTTGTTTATATTCTCCACTTGTTTATTTTTTCATTTAAGATTTTAAATCTTTACATTTATTTTTTTATACATATTTTTTGTTCTGGTACCACGTTAAGGATTCAGATTCTTGCAACATAAGAAGTCAGATTCTTGTAACAAAAGGTGGGAGATTTTTATGAAATCCTAGAAATTCCTCCATCGCGTATTTCGTTCGAGGAATCTTCGTTCGCCGAAACGACGTCGTTACCTCTGAATAATAGATAACAAACTAAAATCCACGAATTCTTCATGTAACGAGAGCTTTTCTTCCTTTCTTCATTCGTAGAACCTCCATTAGAGATGATTGAAGTTCCACTTATTTCAATTGCGATGAAGAATAGAATTTATTTTGCGTAGTCAAATTAATATCCTTTACTCGTATAACATTTTCGATCAAAGAGTAATTTTTTTGAAACGACAGTATTCTAAGCTGTTTTGTTTTTTCAATTCTGTGAATTCTGTGGAACACACGATGATTCCAAACTTTGTGTACACTAAATACATGCATATCTTTGGATTATGTTTGTATCATTACTTTATTGAAATATCATATTATGTTATTTCATATATAGTGTAATAACATGAATAATATGTACGTTATATTATATATAATATAATAATCCAATAAAATAGTGACACGAAGATAGTCCAGAAGATATATGGGTTAGAAATGATTCGACAACGATCATGATCCGACGAAGTTATACGCCACATAAAAATCGGACTATTTCCTTCTATAAACAATAACAGTGTTGATAAAACAGTGTTTGGAAAAAGCTTGACAAAAGGGTACCTGCAAGCGATATTTGGCCCGGTAAGAGAATCGGTTCGCGACCAGCTAGTTCCGTAATCGTATTTTTCAATTTCCTGCCGGGCTGCGACCCATTACGAGAAGTTAATAATCGGACTGCTCGATTTCCCGAAATAAATGTCCCCTTTTCGCGCTTTCTGTCGGCCCTCCGCGAGGAGAGTCCGTTTACTGATAAAGCGATCGTTCCGTTGCGTGTATACAAGCAGAAATAGCTACGATCGAGCTTCCAACTAATGCATACTCATATGTATCACTTTTCATCTGTTTATACGGGTACTTACTTTCAAATAACTGATGTATATAGTTTATAATACCGGTCGTACTTGTTCGAACCATGGGATGTTCTAATTTTAACAGTAATGGGGTGGGTAGACGTACGAAGGGTTGATCCCTTTAGGGCGAAAAATAAATTTTTTGTTTGTTTCTGATGTTTCAGAGTAACAAAGTTGAGGGATGAAGTACATTTAGAATTAAATTAAATTAAATTAAAAGTTTTAGATGTGCGTGCGTGTGTGTGTGGGTTTGTTTATTGTTATTGGAAATAATTTATTGTATTTATTCTGGCTGGCTATTGAGTGATAAAAACTTGTAATTGGAGAATTTTTTTGTTTTTAGGATGTGAATGATTTGAAAATATATTTTATATTTTTGTTCTTTTCAATGTGATTTCGTGAATATGGTTTTATTAAGAAAGATGGTACTTATTGGAGGTGGAAATGTAGCAGTAAATATAGATTAATAGTACCAGGCAAATATAGAAATTGAACACTTTTATATAGAATAAGAAATATTCCATATCTACTGAAAGCAAAAGAAAATTATTTTCATTCGTGTTAAAATTAAACGTTACTTATACATCAAAATATCGAGCGCGAAATGTTAAGTGTTACACACTATGTAGGTGGACATGTATATTTAGTATTATTTTTACATTTTCAAATAATTGCGAGCGATATTGTATGTGGTACAACTCCGTGTTGATATCACGGTGTGGACTACATGGTAAACTGTTCCGTTTTCTCTCTCTCTGTTCAACTGGTCGTCTCGTTGTCCCTCGACGAGCATTTGAATACCATCTATGTACTACATGTGTATCGCGCTTACGTATCTCTGTTTCGACTGGAGGACATACACGTGTTCCCAAGTAAATGAGTTTCTTTCTTCCCTTTTTTTTTACTCTTTAGATTCATGTACTGGTTGGCCAGTAATATTTATTCTTTTTTTATCAAAAATTAACTAATGAAAATTATAATAATGGTATTTTTCTTCGATGTATAGTGCGGCAATTGAAGGTTCTGATCAAATTGAATAGAAAATTGGAATTTCACTAAATTTTATGTACGTAGTTAAGTTTTGCAAGCGAACAAGAACGAAGTACACGAAACGCGTTGTCGAATTAACAATTTGAGATTGTACAAAGGAGATTGGAATTTGGTAGGATCAACCGGCTTGTAGTTAGCGTCTCTTTAAATAATCAGGGGTCCGACAAATAGAGTTTCCGGTGATCAACGTTCAGCAAGTTTAGAAGCAATCAGGCTTCTATCAATCAGTCTTTAGTTATCATCTCCTGAAGCAATCAGGCCTCCAGCGATCAGCTGCTGAATAATTACATATACTTTGACTAGGTTGTGACAATATTTGCTTGTAAAATATATCCTTCGTATTTGTATAATTTCTATTTTATCGTATTTTCTTATAATTTTTAACGATGTGTGAATAATTCTTCGTGAACTTTCTCTAAACTGATTTTGATTTTTTAATCCTTTCAACCACTTACATAGTAACTGAACTATCTTCTTATTAAACGTAGTTATAGAGCTTAGTTCTCTTCAAACAGATTATATTTTTGGATCGAATAGGTCGTTCTTCCTTTTAACCATGTTACATTAAAGTACATTTTTTTAATCATTAAATAATATTGAAATAAGGAAATCAACAAAATTGTGCTTATCATATTTTTTCTCTGTAATCTTCAATTGTATTGAAAATGTATGGTCGCACTACCATAAGAAAAAAAATGGTATATTAAACTGTTTCGCTGAAGTATCACAAAATTTATGAAAATATTGAACAGTATAGCTTTGTTGTCAAACACATATGTGGTTACTTATTTTACAATGAATATTTCGTTTAAAACCAATATTCGTAATGGGGAAAGGATAAAAAAAATTTTATTCTGTGAATTACTGAAAACATGTAGCGTTTTGTTATTTGTATCTTTAAATAAATGAGATAAAAGTTGTATTTAAGTGATCACCTATTAACTAACGTGGAAGGATGTAAATAAAAGGGGGTTGCTACGGGGTGAATGGGGTCCCCATGTGTAAATAAGTGTCACCCGTTGTTTACGTGCGTATAAAGTACCAATGAGGGTGTAAAAAGGGTTATTTTACATAATTTTCATTTATCAGTGATTTTCACAAAGGATGAAAGAGCTACTGTTTTCAAATAAAAGTATTACAAATATTGAATGATCGTGAGGCGAAAATTTACCTAAAATGTCGACACATTAATTTATCGCGTTTCTTTCCTTTTTTTATATTTTAATATTCAAGAAGAGATAAGCCAAAATACTATATGAAATAATGGAAATTTATAGCGATTGATGGACAGTTATTGTTAAAATTAAAAAGAGATGTTTAAAATAGTATCGTAAATTTACATTAGAAAAGGAACGTTTCGATGGACATTCATTACTTTAACTGATTAATACTCAGGATTATTGAACGAAAGCTTCTTTCTCATTTAAATTCCAATATTGAAAATAAAAAAGAAAATCCTCTTTCTCTTTTAATTGATAAAAACTGATGTCAATTGATTAACTTCCAAGATCAAAGAAGAAGAAGAAAAATAAAAAAAAGAATCATTTCAGTGGATTATTGAAAAAGAATCTATTACTATTAATTGACTAGGGATTGAAAAATAATTATTTTTTAGTATGTTAAAGAATTCTTTAGCTTTATTCGTGAAAAAATCAACCAAAAGGCTAACCCATCAATTTGTTATGTAAGTTCCAATATTCATAACTGATTAAAAACTAATGTTAAATGTAACTCGTTATATTTCCTGTTTTCTTATGTAGATTTTGGTATTCACATTGGAAGAAATCATTATCTCAATTCAATCTGATGAGCATCTAATATTAAAAAAGAAGATAATTTATGCTGTAATTTTTCAGCACCGTCCTCCTCTAATTATTTCAATTAATTAAAATGACGTATTTCGCTATTCATTGTTTAATTAATACCTGAATATATTAATAATAACTTTGACTTGATAATAAGTTATGTCTATGGTTATTTAAAAATAATTTTGCGATAGCTTTGTGATAACGTGAGAAAAGGGGAATGTAAATTTTGATCGATTGAAAAAATAAAAGTTCGCTGTGAAAAAAACGAGTGACATTTCGGGTGTAAATGACTCAAGTTGTCTACAAAGTATTAAAAATCAGTCAATCTTCTGTAAAAGATAGAGAATGTGACTTTATGCATATAAATATTTATGTTTCAGATTGATTAACATTCTTTATTAAGAAAAAGAGAGAAAAAAAGAAAAAAGGAAAGGAAGAAAAGAAGTTGAGATGAGAAACGACGAGGTGAATATTTGGCGAGAAAAGTACAGGTAGAAATTGCGGCCGCGAAACAGGGGTATGATTCAGAGCCGTGAACCGTTGTAGACCAGTGTCGTGCGGCGGTGTATGTGGAGCGTACAAGGGTAAGATAGAAGGATTCGCAGCCGCCCCAGTTGAAGCATTGTACCGTGGTTACCAGAGATAAGGCATGAAATTAAATTCGACGGAATGTGGGTCGTCGTGGCATCCCTCCTTTCGCGACTGTGCTACGGCCAACGACGATGTCGACGCCGACGTCGCGAGCGCACACCAACGTCCTCCGCGTTGTCGTTGTCGTTGTCGTTGTCGTCGTTGTTGTCGTCGTCGTCGTCGTCGCCGTCGTCGTCGACCATGTTACCGAGATCGTGCCACTGCACTGTACAGAGTGTTTCAGAAATATTGATCGATTGATTGTAAATTAGTAATAGAAAAAAGTAATAAATGGAAGATACATATTTTTTGTATTTTTCCATAATATTATATTGTATTAAAGTTAAACGAAATACGATACAATACAATAAAAATTACAATTAATCTGTTAACTGGTGAAGATGCGATTGATTCGTCATTCGGATAATAATTCTTTTATTTAGAGGTATCGTTTCATGTAAAAAGTGTTTAAAATTCATACTTACGTTTCTGTTTAAAGGGCAACTCATTTAAGGGATCAAGTGGTCGTATTGGCAATAGTTGTATTTTACTTCATTTATTTTCATTTGCATTGTATATTAGTTGTACTATATTGTATTTCGCTCAATTTTAGTTTATATTGTGTTATAATTGATTTCGCTTGAATTGTATTGTATCGTATTTCATTTATTCTGAATTAGATTATATTTTGTGTTTCGAGTTCTGGCTGAATAATATAATAATGTTGCTTGATTGAGTTGTAACTCTGAAACACCTTGTATATCACGTGGAACGAGAATTTACGATTCAACGAACACGTTGAATCGAGACGAATTCAGCTAAACTCAATAAAAAGGAGACGTGGAAAGATCGGTCGGCCGAATGTGGAGGCGTCTGCCTGTTCCTGCTCCAAGAAAATTTGATTGATGAAGGAATTGATCTTCCCTTTTTGTTTCGTGATTGATAAGATGTTTTAACCGATGGGACTCATGCACCAGAAATTTTAGCGTAAAAGTGCTTCGAGGTGGATTTTGATGGATAGAAGATTACATCATAACGTTATCAGGAAATGAATAAAAAACGTCAAGATATTATTTCTCAGAAAAATTTGAAAATCTCTTCCGAGGAAAAGAGAATTTTCAAAAGATAAATTATATATTACAGCAAGAAATTGATTTTCAAAGAAACAAGAAAATTGTTAACTGACGAAGAAAAGATTTTGAGCAGTTACCTTGGTGCAGTATCCTTGAGAAATTAATAAACGTTCTTAAAAAATTATTTTTTTTTACGGAAGATAGAAGATTGACTGCGGGGAAAATATAAAACATTACATTAAAATATTGCTTAGAAAAATAATTAAGTAAGAAACTAATAAATTGGTAATGGGTAAAAGGATTTTGTGAGATTTGCCAAAAGTGTAGTTTAAAATTTAAATTCTTATCTTTTTGAGATATATATATAGATTATACCATACTTGTAGTATTCATTAACTATTCATATCATATCTGTAATTTGATTGTGCAAGGATAAGAATTAATAGAATCGGTTACCTATTTCCAAGAATTTCTTCTACCTCCTTTATTAACACTTTATGCAAATTTCAAACGTGAGATAATAAACAACATTGAAGTAAATAGCTATACCATAGCTACATAAGAGTCGATATTTCGTTCTACGCTCGATTTCCTTTATCGCAGATGGCGTAACCATTTCCTGTAACATTCTCGAGCTATTCGAGATGCAAGATGCAACTATGCGATCGGTCCGAGCATCTGTTGTCAGGTGGTAAACGCGAAGGAATCGCAATCCTCTGGGGATAGGCCAGTTTAATTGGAATTGATGCTGCAAGCCCAGCGCTACAATCGACACAGCTCTAACGCGCGTAACTAATTAACACGCCGGAGATAATCCAAGTGAATCGCGTCTAAGCAATAGCTCCCCCGTGATGTAGTCGATCGTACCACAATAGAGGTTATGAGAGCATCAGAAATCGAACGTACTAAGTAAGGAACTTTATATTGGTTTATACTACTGTACAATTCTCTTATATTACTATATTAATACATTCCTATGTTCTATATTATAAATATAGTAACCCCTCGCACTCGTATATTAATTGGGTCTGAAGTAATAGTTACTTGATATTAACTGATATTGACTAGTCATTACACATACATATGTATATACATATTTACTTATATATGTTATATACGTATACACATATCTTAACACTTCGTTATAATTTATACACATATATTAACATAGTGAACAGCGGTTTAGATTAATTGCATTATTGATTATTATTTCATTGATTATCAACAAGAGACAACGCTTGGCGATACTTTGAGAATGTAACGTATCTTAAAAAACATAAAGTGAATCGAGCACGGGAATATGAATTTGATTGTTAGAACAAATGGTTTTTGCGTCTTTAGTGCAAGCGATGTAAATCGGGAAGATGTATCTAAATCGAGGGGTGGCTGTAATTGTGACTGTAGTCGCGTAACTTCGAACATATAACTATACAGTATACACAAATACTTGCAGTAATAATAAGTGTACGAAGTAGAGTAATTTAAGTAGAATAAATTCTATTAATTGTATTAAATTTTTTTAGAGGAGATTAGTCATTGTATTTAATAATAACATATAATTTTGAAAATTGTTTAAATCCCATGCCTCTATTGGAATTTGTCTAATTAATTATACATTTCTCTGTGAAATTATACTTTCTGCAGTAAGCATCCTATAACAGGTCAATAATTCCATACAAATTTGCATAGACAAATCGTGTATTCGCAGTGCATAGCCAAACTTCACGAAACCTTTCTACGCGTTTCCGAACAGCCACTAGTAATTTATTCAAATATCGAAACTGTTTGCACGAGAACACTTTGGAAGCAACGTCGGATTTTCCTCGCAAATTTCGTTTCAAATTCTGTTACAACATGAAATTCATATCGAAATTCTCCGATTTCCAGAGCACCTTCCAAAGTTCGCGGTCTCTAACCGAGAATACAGCGATGCATGCAGAAATTTCGTTTATTTGTCCTCTCCTGTTATCGTACAGGATGTTCCACGCAACTAGGCCGATTACTATACGTATTTTATTATTAATTATACATATCATCAGTCTCTTCGTTTGATTGATTGAAGCGTTAGAAAATTTTAACAAATTTTGTTAAATTCAAATTTTAGCAATTTATTGATTTTTAAATTAGTATCTTTAGTAAGTAGTCGAAGATTTCCTGACCAGTCGAAGATGTTATCAGACTTTCCCGTTTTTCTTTCTTTTTCTACATTAATCGATTTAAAGCTGCTTTGTTCAATTACGCGGACCTGTAAAATTAAATTTTGTCCCTCTGCGTTTCAGTTTATCTCTCGAGCCGACCTATTCGATCAGGATTATGCGTTATGCATTCGTGAAGATGTTTTGATATCGTACGAGGGGAAAGAGCGAGCGGACACAGACGAATCGACCAGCAACGAGGAGAAACGTTTGCGTGGATTGGGCCTCTGGTGGAGATAACGAGCGGCGGTACGCGGAAAGCAGGAAGTTGGCATGAAAAAGTAGATACAAAATGAGCTGTAGATGCCACGATAAGGTGTTACGGGAATGATGGAAGGAAGAAAGGAAAAATTAAACGATGATGATGGCAGAGGAACAAACGAGAGGTTGGTTTATGGCAAGGAGAATAGATGGACTAATTATCTTTATCTATTAGCTCCTTTTCTGTTGCATGATCTCTGAATTTGAATCGTTATTTGGATATATTATTCTCCTACTGATATAATGACGTTTTTAGATTTTGTAATACAGTTATTACCTCACTTTCTAAAAGTATTCTGATATTTCTGAACGTATGTTTGTGCTCACAAATTAAAAATTCCGAAAAACACGGAATGCGTATAATATGCAAAAATATTATATAAAATATTCAAAGTAAATCGCTTATCATGATATTTAGTAGATGAAGCAAATTTCTATTTAGATCTCATTTTTTTAATTATTTTCATAAAAATGTAAATTGCGTAAACATCTGTAGGTCTACTCATCATCACGGTCAAACTAAAAAAATCTACTTCATATGGCCACAAAGAAAAGTCGAAAACCGTCGAAACACAAAACTCAAAAGAATGATAGTGAATGCTCGTTACGTATACGTATACACGTATCGCACTGTGGGTGCAGACACACCGTCTGTTCCGGTTCTGCCAGAGTATAATCGGGACACGCGGTAACACCGCGTAACGAGTTAGCACAACGAAGCCAAGCCAGGGGTCTTCGTGGCCCTGGCAGCTCGCAATCGATAGCCCGAGCAGCTAGAGGCGTGGGAGTCTGCAGCCTCTGGGGTAGAGTGAGGGACACAAAGAGACGTTGGACCGAATTTCCGCTGAGAAAAAGAGAGAAAGAGAGAGACAGACAGACAGACAGAGAAAGGGAGAGATCTAGAACTCTCTAAGAGGAGGCTAGAAAAAGGGTAGAAAAGGAACGTGTCGCGTTAACGAAAAGCTTGGGACGCGAGAAGGTAGCATGATCCCCGTAGAAAGGCTGAAATTTTTCGTTCCTTGTGGGACTGGATCGTCAATTAGAGGATGTCCAGACTCGATGTGGCGTGGTCTGCAAAGAAGAGAAGGCTTTTCGAGCGTATAATGGGAGAGGGACGAGCCGGAAAGTCACGGAAACCTTTAAGGAAATAGGTCGAGAACCAATAAGTCGTTTAAAGGACCCTTTACGGTTCCGCTTGCCGGCCAGCAGATTTATAGAGATGCCTTTTAATCAAGCCTGACTTGAAACATCTTCGTTTCTCTCTCTTTTTCTTTCTCTCTGTTTCTCCAGGTTCGTGATGGGTGGATGCTACAGTTTAGGCAGATTGTTCGTACTGGATGTAGATTCGCATTAGAAGAGCGTAAACTAAGGTGCGATGACCTTTGATTGGAGGTTTAGTTGCATGTAGATTGGTATTTTGGTAGAGAGTTCACAGTTTGAAATCTTTGGAATTTGTGGAGCTTTTAGCATTTAACATGTTTGAAATGTGACATTTGGAATTTATAAAACTGTTAGAAGATTTTTAAAGCGCTGAGTGTTTTAAGATTCAGGATTTTTTGAGATTAGCTGGATGTAGATAATAATTAGGGCTGAAAGTTTAGGGTTTGGAATCTTGGAATTTTGGAATCTAGCGCCTAGGATATTTCGAATTTTTAATGGGAGGATTTCTAGGATTTTGGAAGAAGTAGTTAAAACAAAAATACCTATTTGATCTATATTTCTTTTATATTAGTCATCGCCATTTATAGTTACGGAATGAGAACAGCTCTCAGAACTGGGAGTAATTTTAATCAAAAAATTCCAGAATTATTAGTTCCAGTAAATGTCACTTTTCACTTTAAAATTTCAGAATGTAAAATAAGCGACGGTCTTGTACTTTCTTCTCGCCAAATCAATTCAACATTTCCCTTGCAAATCAGACCTCATACATGCACATTGCACATACATATGTATGTTCATCAGCCAAGGTCTCGTCCATATTTTCTGTTTCGAGGTACCGTCCACTTCTTCCAACCGGGCGGAGCGAATATTCGTCGTGCAGTTGGAAAAACGAGCTTGGCAATTCTCGTGTTCGCGAGAAAAGTTCAAGTGTCTCGAATTAAATGCGTCTGCTCGCGCGAGATAACGAGCTCGTAACTATCTGCTTGTCGTGTCGACTGAATCTCTGCTAGACGAATAACAGTTACGTTTACCTTGTACCTAATCTGCTTTCTTAACGTCAATTACACACATGCACGCACCCACACACACACACACTCCTTATATATCCTAGTGAAAACTCCTTGTAGATGAATAGGTGCCAGCATTCCAATGTCGAGTTTGACTATCCTTATGATAGAATATTCAAATTACAAGTCGGTTGAAATTTCAGATGGTAGTCGTAAAATAAAATTTGAAAGAGTTTCTGTGCTCCTATGGCTGGAGGATGTCGCGGGAATACGAAACTTAATAGTTAGTAGTTACTCGGTTCGCGATATCTTGAACTACGTGGTTTCAGTTATTAGCATTGTGGAAATTTTTCTTCTTTATTTTAGTTTCGAGGGAGTTTAGGAAGTTTTCAGGAGTTTATTGGTTTGTAACTTATCGTTATACGTTAGTAAATTATTGAAGATCTTTTTATATAAATTATTAGATTCTTCGGGGTTTTGTTTTTCTCCCTTTTTAAATTAATCAATTCGAATTTGTAAGAATTCTAAGAGATCTTGAGAACTCTATAAGATTTTTAAGAATAAGATTAGAGTGCTTTGTTAATTACGATTATGAGCATCGGAGTTGTCATGGTCTATAAATTATTACTATTAATAAGTAGTCGAAGATTTCTTTTTAAGTAAAATTGAAATATAAAAATTCCAAAATCCTAGCAAGATAAATCTTGCATATACCAAGTATATAATCTTGTACATACCAAGCTCACTATAACGTTTCTATCAATAGTAGTTATTCAGATGAAGATCGAATTAGTTAACAGCAATCTGAGCTATTTGAAAACATTACTATGCCGTGTGAAAGCCGCTTTAATCAATTTACACCGAGAAATTCTATTTTCTTATCAAGTGTTTCGAGTTGGAGGACAGGCCGGAAGTCGAGAGAAAAAGCGGCGAGGCGGGGTTAAGGCGAAATACCATTGGACTCTCTCTTCCGACTAACGTTTCTTCTCCAACGTTTTACCACGGTCTCAATTCTATCCATTCGCTCTGCAACCTCACTCGATTTTCCCGAACGATTTCGTCTATTTCTAGCTCGACCGTAAATCTCTTTTTGCATCAAAGCTTTTCATTTATGTATCCTTTATCGATAAAAGATGCGGTAGATTATTTTATTTTTATTATTGCATTTACATAGTTAACTCCTTTTTTGTCGATAATAACTACTTTATCCATTAACGTTACAACTATCAATCACTAAAGTATGAAATTTGTTTCAGAGAAAATAAAATGAAAGATATATGAAAGAATACTTAATGCAAGGAAGGGACAAGACCTTTATATATATATTTTAATAGGAATAGAATAGAATGGATTGAATTGATATTTCCAAACTACGTTATAAATCTACAAAGTTCCCGTAAAAAATTACAAATTGATCGTTTTATAGCTGATAGTGACGAAGTTTATCTTGTAAAATAATAGTTAATAGTTAAAACTTGTAATAACGAAACTTGTATCAGTAATAGTTAATGGTTGTTTTGTGAGGTAACAGCCAATATAGTTGAATTTTATAATAGTGTAGCCTATGCGAGTAATAATTAAATTTTATTTTGTGGAGTAATGATTAATAGTTAAATTTTGTAATAAAAAAGACTATGCTAATAACGATTAAATATTATTTTGAAGTTATAGCGAAGCAATAGCTGCATGAATAATAGTTAAGGGTTGTCTTATGAAGTTTTAGATGTTTTATATTTAAATGGATTTATTTCGTTCTTTGTTGTTGCTGGAACTAATGGCAGCAATTATCGATGTTAGAGGTGGTCTCTTAATTATCAAAAGCGTCTAATAGCTCGGTCGTTTCACAGTCTGTCGCGATACTAATGAACGTTGCTCTTTAATTCGTGCATACGCGTCCCACTCGAGTTTCTGTCTCCCTCTTTCTTTATCCGTGCCCTGATTCTTCATGTTTCTAAAGGAACATCGTGACGTTGATGGTCGACGTCTATTCTTACACATGGATTATCCTATAATCCCTACTTCTGACTGTTGTCAATATTTTTGTGACGTTCAATCTTTTCTTATTCGTGGTTTCGAGTGGTTCTACTCGAGTGTCAGACTGTCTTCCGTCTCTTTTTATAGATTCCCCTTGATGTTAGTGGTCGAAGAGAGTGTAAAATAGTACGTAGGGTGAGTTTTGTGAATGGTATGTAGTGGTTTTGCATTTTTGTAAATAATGATACGTAGACGTAATTTTTAGATCAAGAGAGATTAAGGAAGTGGACAAAATGGGCAGAATTGCGTGAATTATGAAATTTATGATCGATACGCTGGGGAAACTGCACTGATTTCAGTGATTGAGAAGGTGGAAAAATTGTGAAGTTTATAATTGATATTGAAGATAAAAAAGAAGAAGGATTGCAATCAACGAATTTATGATTAAGAAGGTAAGATAAGATTGTAGAGATCGCGAAATTTGGCATTGAAAGAAGAGAAAATAGAGAGTGTTGCAAAAATTATGAAAGTTCTGATTGAGAAGAAATTGGAAAGTTTCTGATCGAGGAAAAATTGTGAAGTTTCTGATTGACAAAGTAGGACGGTGGGAAAGATTATGAAAATTACGAAGTAGTTGCGAAGCTGGAAAGGGAAACTGTTTCAAAGTTTGTCATCGAGCCGCTATAAAAAGGGAACGAATTTTGAAATTGAGGAAATGAAGAAATGGAAAGAGTCGTGATTATGAAATTTGTGACTAGCAAAATGGAAATAGGAAAAGAATCGTAATATTTCTGTAATTGAAAGAGTGGAAATATGAGGGTGGTTACGAAGATTATAATATTTATGTTCGAGAAAATAAATGTTGCGAAGGAAAGTGTTGCGAGATTGAGGAACTACGCTAATGGGGATAGGATCACGAAAAGGACGAAACTTTCGGCTAAGGAATTGAAGAAATAGAAAGATAATAAATCGGAAAACTTACGATTATGATATTGATACATCAATATGCAAAATTCAAAATCGATAAGTTAACAATCTCTTTAAAAGTACATTAAATTTTAACACACGTATACGTCTACGTGGAGTAATATCTTTCAAATATTACTGGAATTAAAATCAGGCTAGCTTAAAGTTATTCAATTTGAAAACTTATTTGTTATTCGGTAAAAGTTCAGTGGAAATTTAAATTTCTATGAAGTTGAATGTAAAAGAAGCGATAAGTAAAAATTTCCTAGTATTATAGCGGCCAGAGGCAGTTTCTCGATACTACTTATACACGTGGCGAAGTTTTGCAATTCTATCGCTATGAAGCGAATATCACTCAATTTGTATACGGTGTAAAGCGTAAGCCGTAAACTTCTCTAGACTGATTATTCTCATTGTGGATGGTGCAATCTAAAGTCATCTTGTTTCGAGTAATGTGCTTCTGAAGATGCATTTACGCAATTGCATTATATTTTATGTATTTTACTTAACGCAACTAAATATTTCCATATTTCCTTATATAAAAATTAAAACGACGATGAAAATAAGTATTCGTGTTCCCCGTTTTAATACAAGTCAATATTCATTTTTACACATTTTTCGATAAAAGTACACATTAATATTATTAAAAAAACACCTGCATGTTCTTAATAATTCCAAAATAAAAAATTCTAGTACCTTTAGACGAATGTACCAATCTATAATGTACAAATATAAAATAATATTATCGATATTTCAAAATTCTCAACGAAATTGCAGTTCACCGATAAATATTGTATTTGCAATACATATTGGTACTTTTAATCGAAGACCTTTAAATATCGAAGATATACTTATATCGATAGTCCAAAGGCATCCTTAAAGGAGTGTAAAAATTATTCGTCATTTGCAGTTTTAATAATTCCAAAGTCGCAAACCGTAGACGTTTTAGAGGAATGTATTGTACAATCCATTCGTCCTGTCTGATTTGTTAACTTCAGTCTTAATAATTCCATAATCAGAAGCTGTTCAAAGGAATTTAAAAATCATTCATTTCGTCTAACGTGCTATTTTTAGTCTTAACTGCGCTCCTCGGATCCACTGCTTTCTCGAAAGTTCCTAATCTTTCGTTTATAACCGATCATCCCTTAACCTTCTCTTATTGAACTGAGTTGCGGTTGAAAAAAAGGGAGTCGCGGTGGCGCGTGTCGAGGTGAACAGGGTTTGGCAGGGTTATCGTTCGGGCACGCCTAAAGTTTCCGGCTTTACGGCCCGGCTAAAATCGAGAGGGAACATTCAATTAGGGCTTATCGGTTCTCGAGGCGAGTTTTTATCGCGTTTGATCGCCCTTTATTCGCGTGTACGCTCGACCCTGTTGGCCCGCGGCTTTTCCACCCTTATCTCGACGCTCGTACCTCATTTGCGAACGAGAAGCTCTTGCAGCGTGCCGCTCCGAGGATAAAAAGCCTGCTTCTATGCCTTCCTTCTTCTAATCTCTTCCTCTCTTCATCCTTATCTCTTATCCATCCTTTATTTTCTCGTTTCTTAAACGATAATTACAAATACCAACAGTTTTATCTTGCTATTACTCTAGCGAAAATTATCCACGGGTGCACCGGTGTTTATTATTTTTACCGAATGTATTTATTTATTTATACAACGTGATTATTTTAGTCTATCGAGACTACAGCGATTTATTGCGGGTGCAAATGCTCTGCTAATTTAAAAAGATTAAGAATGTTTTCGATATTTCCATTCATTTTCTATGTAAATAATGTGTTTATGTATATAGGATATATATATATGTATTGTTCATTTAATTGCACCGTTCTTTCTCATATGTTTCCCACGTGATTAATACATTTTCATTATTGTAAAGAATCGTTGATTCTCGATTCTATCGAACAATCCTCCTAAACAAATAGAAATTCGGCGGAGATTTATTTCACCCTCCAGATACTGTAACGAGAAAGAAATTCTTTAGAAATTTCATATAGCAGTATATTTTATTGCTTGCTTTACGGCATTGCGAGCAGGTTTACATAGTTCTGCGTATTTCTAGCTAGAAACATGCTACCTTGAAATTTTATATATTTTTGCATATTTATACTTTGGAGGTTTTACATATTTTTATGTATTGTACTTTGGAAATTTTATACATTCTTTAATTCTTTCTTTTCTTTAATTTCTTTCATTTAAATTATACAATTATGCAACAATTATACAACAAAAGTGTATACAAATCCACGGTCTAATCGTAATTTACTCGAAAAAGACAGTGCTATTGTCTGTGATAAACGATCTGAAAACCGAAAGAACTTCCGTAGCCGCCTATTATTTACTCCTCTCTCGCGACTGATTAAATTGCTCCATGATTACGATCGCCAGTTATATAGCGCCATTGTTACCACCTCTTACGATTAATCGTTCTAGGTTCTTCGTCGTTTTGGATTGTCTCTTGTTTGGAAGCATCTCTGAGTGGGAATGGTTTGGTTGGTTGGTGTTTAGTGTGTTGATGTTGATGATAAGACAGAAGAGGGTTGGCGAAGCTTTAGAGGAATTTACAGCGAACTGATACTCGACTTTTGTCTTTCGTGTTCATTTTATGATGGATGATGGGGAAAGATTGACACGTGGAAATATTGGGTAACGAATTCTTCTGACAGAATACTGTTTTTCGAACGATTTCAACAGGTGCGTTTCAATCGGCTCACAGATTTTTTAAACATTAAATATTATAGTGTAAGAGTTCTTATATCGTTTAACATCCTGATAACTGTTATATATCTATTTGTAACGTGTGAAGCACGCGTTCATATTTATACGCGTTACAATGAATGCATTACTTTAGTAAATGTATACATTTGTTATAATGTATACATATATGTGCGTATTAATTGTACACTAAAATTGGTATAAACGGATTCACGTGCAACGAAATTTAAAGTTCTATCAGTAGCATTCTATATTATCGAATAAATGAATGTATTTTGTACGTATTTATGAATACTTTTTGCCAAAATCTCATGCAAATGCACGTTCTGACTGGACGATGTACCGATTAGAAAATTTCACGATTTCATTGCTACGTGAAATGCACATTTACTTGCGATATCCTTTCCTTCGATCGACTAAATATTTTTCTAAATTCGTTAATCGATTAATTTATTTGTTTACTTGTAGCGGTGCGCCGGAAGTTAACAAGAAAAATGGCTAGTTGTTTCTTGAATGTTCCGGAGTAACAGATGACGGAGGATTAAATCCCAAGACTATCCGGTTTATCTTTTTGCTAGGTAAGTCGAGTCCCATTTGTTTCCCTCGCCTAGGTGCATTGAATTCGCCAAGTTTAGTGTAGATAGGTGAGTTAAGTTTTATTTATACAGAAAGGTATTCTGTTAACATTAAGATTTAAACAGAATATGCATGGTATATAAAATTGTAATCTAAAATCTCGAATACAATTTTCTTCGATAGTATTATTGGTAAAGACCAATTTGGCATTGATAGTGGCACGACTTAAAAAACGTACATTTATGTCTTTGAAAATACAGAATACAGGGCCTATTCATCTAACAGCTCCTGAACAGATCGTCATCATTGTTATTACTATCATTATTGCTATCAATATCATTACTGTAATATTCCCGAAACAAAATTTATTCCATTTCAATAAAATCCAAATTTCCCCCACTAATCCGCACATTTTATCCTAAAGAATAAGCAAAAAGCAAATTAAAAACGCGTCTAGAAACGAGTAGTACCTATACATAGAAGCGATTAGGACGAATGGTTTAATAATGAATTCACGAATATTTATATCCGACCAGTTCGTTTTATTTTTACTCGTAAAAGACAGGGTCGGGAAAGTTTGTGCGGAAAAATTTATGGGACGCCCTGTATAAATAAATTAAGAGGGATCAGGAGGGGGTAGTTTGCGCCGTCCGGAAGTTTTCGGTCGCAGACAGCCCAGCGATACGATAGGATTTCCAACGTATCACGCGATATATAGACCTGCCCTTAACTTTTGAACGTTCCGAGGCTAGGTTCTCGCGTAACATCCACCTTTGGCGACGCCTTTCACGGCGAGCGCATTCGAACGGAAAGAATGGTAGAAACTCGATAAAACGCCGCGAGAAAATATTTTCGAACGACACGGTTTTCCATTCTGACCACCCTACTTTATTCCAACCGAACCACCCTCCCCGTCGGATCGTAACTTTCCTCATTTCCTTGCGTCGTCGAAACTGTGTTCGCGGTAGCGCTTCGAAATAATGTTCCCTTCGTCGATTAACTTCTTGATTTTACTGGGAATTTTCTTTATGGAGGTGTTTCAAGAGAATTATTTCGAGAACGAAAGGAAAGTTCTTGAAGGATATTGGAGACGAAGATGGAGGTTTGCGACACGAAACTTAGATTCGAGGGGTTCGTTTCGCGATCGTCAGCCCTCGGAACGATGGAAAATAAAACTCGAATGTGTCTTTTAGGCTGTTTTATTTAGCCACGCATCAAAATAGATCGAATAAATTCTTTTTTTTTTAGTAGGGATTGAAATTGTTAGTACAAATACATACAATGGAATATTTAAGGGTTCCTGATTGGTTTAAACGTTGCACGTATTTTTAAAACGAATAGGACAAACGGATTTTCAACGTTCGAATATTTCGAAATATTTAAATATTACGTGACCGTGGTCAAAATATGCAATTTTGGTTGCAAACTAATACACGCTACGGTCATTTTTCTACGAAATCTATATAAAGCTCGAATAAATCTCTCGAATTAAAATTTTGCGCCAAAAATGTTCCTTGGCGCTTGGCTATCTGGCGATCGACATACCAACGACACCATCTTCTAACATTATTAATAAATATTTAAGAAGGTAAATTGCACTTAAGTTCTGTACTACATTCTGTATTCTCATTGTTAAGGAGAACATTTCCCGGTAAAGGCGTAAAATTTTCCAACTTTGGCACTTACAGCGCTTTCTACGAGTATTTTTCAATTTAATCTTCTATCTAATCTTCCATCTAATCTTAACTTAATTTTATAAGATTAAATACCGAGGATTAAATTCTTCTAAACCCTCTTTAGTTTATCCCGGCGGAAATTTAAACGCCACATAGAAATCATCTAGCCACGGAAAAACTGAAAAATGAGGAAAACAGAAAGATGATTATAGGCGTACAATATTTTTCTTCGCAGGTTGCAGGATTTTTGTAACGTAACTTTCGGTCGCGATTCTCGTCGCACTTTCAAAGCGGTTAAGGCTCGGCCGACGATTTTTTGGTCATGAAAAAAGAGAGAGAGGGAGATAGTAGGGGAGAAAAGAAAGGGTGGCAGGACAAAAGGTAGAAAAAGGGATGAAAGCGTGGGAAAAGAGGGGTGGAAAAAAGAAAAACAACGAGCGACCACGCGACGAACAATGGCGTAATGAAGAGTCCGCGCTTTACGCGCGCGATACCCGCCCGTGAAAGCCGTAAGAGGATTTTCGTTCAGTCGGGAAAAATGCCTGGCCAGAAATTCAATATTCAGCCTGCTCTTTGTTCTCATTAAGGGACGAACAACGTCGGTTGTAATTAAGGTGGAAACTGTGAGAATCGCGAACGTAAATAGGCTTTCTGACAAACTTCGTTTTCGAAACGAGTCGCTTTACTTCTTCCATGGTTTCACCCTTGTCTTTAGGATTTTTTTTCTTCTTCTGATAAACGGTGGTTTGTGGATGATGGAATTAGTCGCTATTAGTTATCGTATTACGTGCAGAAAGATTCCGCAGTCTACAAAGATCGATATAGTATAGCGTTAAAGTACTTTCATACGACGAGAACGATTTAACGCTATGAAAATAAAACGCAGAAGCCGAGATGAGAAGAAACTCTTAATAAAAATACGTAGAAGTATTTTTGATAACTATCGCATGTATTAAACTTTTAAATGATCGATCCACGATTTTTGGAATTTTCCACAATCGGCAAACTATTTTCATACTATTCTTAAAATTCTATAACTCGTAGCACGCTATACCAACTATTTATTATACAATTCCTCTAGCATTCCTTACTTCCATGAAAATTCTTTCTTCCCTATATCGAAGAAAATAAAATAAAACGGAGAATTTGAAATATCCGATTAGCCGTCTTTTTCCTACCGGCATCGACATTCGACGAATTCTTCGGAATCGATCGATTATTTCGAATTGATGAGACGTCGAATGCTCGTGGAAAGCTCGTCCACCGTTAATGGAGTAGCGTAAATAAATAAGACGAAAGATACGGCTGGATCCCGTGGATGAGGAATCTTAATGCCTGGCCCATCGAAACGTTTGCTCTTCGCTGTTGTCGATCGATCGAGGAGCATCTTGAAAGATTTAACGATCTCGCGGAGTGAGAAGGATTGAGAAGTGTTAAAAGTCTCTCGAAATGTTGCAGGATGGGGAAGACAGAGAGGGTGAGAAAGGGTTGGTGAAATAGATGGATGGAATAAGGCATGGCAACACGCAACAGGCAATCAGGTCAAGTTGAGATGTTTCAAAACTTCAAGAGCCTCGAACTTCCGGTAAACTGGTGTTGAAGAAGGGAAAGACACGTAGATATGTACAATATTTACGTGAGATGTAGTCATGGGATCAACTTGAATATGCACTTATAAATCCGAATCGAATCCGACATGGAAGGTCCACTGCGTAGGGTTATAGGGATACTATTCGTATCTTGACTGCGAATTTTTATGGAATTTCGTATTTCGATTGGATAGAACTGAAGAAATGCAACTTGTAGAGAAATTTGTTTCATCGACTAAAAATTCTAAAGAGTACGAAAGACAAATAGTTTGTATAACTGGAATTCACACGATGGTAATTTCTTGCTTCTGCTTGCTATAATTTTTTGTTTATACGATAGAAATTGACGTTTAGATAGATAACAATTTTTATAGACAAGAGTTCGTTTGACCGCAACATTGGCGAAAGTTTAGTTCAAATAAATGGATGTTTAGAAAGAAATATTTTTGGATCTCGTAAAGTAGCCGAAGCAGAGCAAAGTCTCTATTTGTTGTTGTAAAATATTCCGCATCAGAAGAAATATTAAATCACGTTTATATCGCAAAGTAGTATGTAGAATATCATAAAATTACTACTCTATTATAAATTTTCCGCTGTGGAGAAAATTGTTAGATATTACTAAGAGATGTTTCAAATAAGGAACGATACTCGAACTCTATGATTGAACATAACAACGGCCAGTGATAGTTGGGACTCCTGAAATATATCAAATTGGAAAAGAATTTCTTATACATCATTGCATAATAATTTAGTCTACAAAAATATATATCCTACGTTGATATAAAATAAATCACGTAAACAGGAATACTTGCGGAAGTTTTTGTGAAAGGATACGAATGATATTTCTCTTCGTTTTTTACGTTTCATCGTGTAAAAAGCTCGGCGATTTTACATACAAAGAGGGAGAATAAGTTATTCTTCGAAATGGAATAAACGGGCGATAACGTTTGAGGATTTGAAATAGAAGCTCTGTTGACGGTGCTTTCATTAATCCAAGTGACTTTTATTCGGTACAGTCTTCAAAATAATGCATCGATGTATTAAGAGGATACAGCTAAATATAGCGGAGGGAATGATTGACCCGAACAAAGAAGCACGACGGAGAAGCGAAATGTAACAGTGCAAGGGAAAATGGATCGTCTATTGTCAGACACGTTTCGAACCGCTATGACCGGGACCTATATATTCCCTCCGTAACTCTTTACACATGCGTTATTTCGATAACTATTTCGAATAGAAGTTGTTCGGATTAAGTGGCAATCTAGGAAAATTCGAGTATCGTTGAAAATAACATAGAAAATAAATATACCCTATTTGTATTGTAAAATATTTAATTCTCTGCAAATATTCGACTCACTTCGAACTTTTTACATTTTATGGTATCTTTATATTCATAGAAAATTTGGCCTACCCTTTGAAAACTTTCTTTATAGAAACTTGTGTATTTCTTTCTTCTTTTCGATATTTCAGATATCAATATACTTCATATTCGATATTTTTTAGGATTTAATTTTTGGGAATTGTAACGATTACAATTTTCACATATATTTTATATAACTATATAGAATTCTTATAAAACTTATACAACGTTTAATTTATTTTTCAGCAAAATCTTTTTCTGTCAATGCGTTTAAATTGCTAACTTTAACAGTTAAGAACGGAAAGCGATATTAAAATAAATAAACGATTTTAGTTCGCTAGAGTTTGGAAGCCTAAAATGGCACGTTATAATAGTAAATTTTGGAAAATTCGAAAATAATTATTCTCCTTTACTTAAATCTCGCAGACAGCATTCCCAAAAATACCATTATCCGCTAATGGCCTACGCGATTGGCACGAAAATCTAAAGAATCTCCAGAAATTCCTCTCTTTCTTCGAACCACCACTTTTATCGAGTCCACGTTCAAAGAACCTCGAGACAGCGATGCTTCGTGTATCCAGGGAATCTCGTTTCCCTCGCAAAAGTCAGGAATAATAACAATATTCTTGCGGGAAAGGAGGAAAACTCATAATTTCTCGCGCAAACCGGCAACCAATTACGTTAAAAGATCCGAGAGCTGCGAGATTCTCCTTGACTGTGGAGGAAGGCGAGGGAAATAAAACAGAAAAGAGGACGAAGAAACGAGGAAAAAGGAAAATAAAGGCGGAGAAGGGTCGCTGGAAGGAAACTGCGTGCTGGAATACGACAACTATAGGCCGGCTTCGTCGTTATGAATTATCTATGCGCGAGTGACGCCTGCGCCTTTACGACGAGTAAAAGCGAATTTCACTGACGAATCGACAGACTCGTCCTTTGCGTCGGATCGACTCCGGAGACGCTTCTTTCACGCGAGTATCCTTGTTTCGCGAGATAAAGACAGTCGAGGATGAATTTATAGACGAGGGGGAATTTGATGGATAGGGCGAAATGGAAATTGGTTTTGCGAAGATTTTGTAGCAGTATTTGTGGAAAACTGGGGTCACCTTCTTACGTAGCACTCCTTTTTCTTTCTAATTTTCTTCCAGCTTGGTTAGGGTTTTTTTTAGGGATCGCCAAGAGAAATGTATATAGGATTAGGAAGCTTTTAAGCTTTTAATTTAGAGATCTCTATCTTTTCTTTTCACGGTTGAGATTTTTAGAGACGCGTAGAGTGTATAAAGTTTAAAGGACCAAGAAATTTTTGTTTTCATAATTTCTTCTCCTTCGCTTACCAGATTAAGATTTTTGGAGATATACGAGAAAAACCTGCGGTTAGTTAATTTCTTATGTAGCAATTTTCTACCGTTCTAATTTTCTTTATATATGGTTAGGATCTTTTAGGATCTTTATTCTGAGAGAAATGGCTGCACATAGGATTAGGACGCTTTTAATTTAGAAATTTTTGTTTTCTATCCCTTACTTCTTTTAATAAAATTTAAGGAGTTGGGGGAAATTTTTATTTTCGTAATTTCTCCTTTTTACTTGCCAGATTAAAATCTTTGGGAAGGAGGTACGTGGGTATGTACGTTTTTAGGAATTTGTGAGAGAAATGTAATAAGATATTAACATTTTTTATACTTTATACTGCTTAAGGATAACATCCGGTTGAAAATTTCTTATCTATTCTTTGCAGCTTCTTCTTTTATTTGTTAGGTTAAAATTCCTTGAAAAGAGACAGCAGCCGAGCATGTAAATGAGAAAAGTCCTCATATCAAATTTAGTTTGTAATTATTACTCTAAATAAACAATAGAATGTTTTTAATATAGGGAATATATACGATGAAATACTCAACTTTTGTTTTCTGTTTTATTCTGTTATATTTGTTGCTTCGCTCTTTTCCCATTACGGCTGTTAGGGCTCAAGAAATTCGATTTGCCTGTTGTTATAGTTTTAGCCGTTTGCTTGCCTGAATGCATAATATGTGTGCTATCTTGCTAAGAATGTACAAAACGTACCCTCGTGGGATACATCTTTATTTATGCGAACCGCTTGTCTGTACTGTCATGCATAAGAAAATTCTTCTACTACTATATTTAGATTTTTACTTATTAAGAGTAACACGAAACACAGAACTAATGAAACACAGTTAACGTTGTTACGAGAAATTCAGCCTATTGATGTAGATCTTAATTTAATTTACTATTATTATATTATATCATATTATATGGTAGTATTATTTGAATTATTATTTGAATAGGATATTTCGACTAAATTATTATATATTGTATCATTGTATCAAGAATATTGCAAAAGTAAGGTACTGATGAAATAATTAGAAGGCAGAATATTTTGAAGATAATAGCAGAAGCGATCCAGCGAGAATATTTTAATAACAGTTTCTTGTTACTATCTTTGCAGTTTGATCGCATCCTTAGAGTTTAAAGATCATCTCGTTACCGTGCTTAGAGTTTACCTTAGAATTCGTAAATGATGATATCGCGATGTTTAAACTTTGCAGGCTTTCATATCGTTACGTCTGAACTTTAAAAGTCGAAATATTACCAATATTATCAATGTAAAATCATTATCGTTAACATTTGATAACAATTCATCGAAAACTCCATAAAACTTGTTTATTTCCCATTCTAGATTCTATTCTAGATTCGAAAGAGTCTACGTTCTAGAGTTTAGGACAGGTATTGATCAGAAAGTATTAAGAGAGAAGATAGCGAGGATACTGGGCAGATCGGTTTTTCGGTTGTAAAATGTGACTCGATAAAAGCAGTTTCGATCTGTTCGCGGGTAAAAGCGTGTTTCGCTGACGAATCGACGGGCATAAAACGAGCCGGACGAGCCAACAAAGACGGGACATTTATCGAAAGCTGTTAACACGGTGAACGGGACAACCGGGACGAAATTACTTCGCCTCGCGCCCATCGTGAAAAGTTAAACGTCGATCTACTCGATTCCCGATATTCTACGAACGATAGAATCTTGTCCTATGTTCCACGGAACCAGATAAGATAAAATCCGAGAGAAAATTTGAATTAGTTAATGAGATTTTAATTTTATATAAAAATCAAATATTACTTAATGAGACCTAAATTTCGTACCAAAATTAAATATCACTTAACACGTTCGATGGGGATATCGCTCGAATACATACACGCGTTTCTTCCATGTATGTATCGACTTTGCATTGAACGTGTTAATGATATTTAAATTTTATATAAAAATTAAATATTAATTAGATTATAATTTTATACAAAAATTAAATATTAATAAGATTTAAATTTTATATGAAAGTTAAATGTCGATTAATGAGATTTTATTCTACATATAGAACTATCGGTGTAACTGTAGTGTTGGAATTTCTTGAAAAATTTATATGCGAGAACTTGGGTAAGTGGAATCGTTTTTTAAATAATTCTTGACAGATCATTTCGCTGGAATCATTTCTCTGGAGTATTTTCGAATGTTTAAAGAATCAGCAAATTTCCGATAACGTAGTCCTTTTATAGTATGAAAGGGTAAACGAGGATTTGAATTAATTGGTGAAAATTAAAAAATAGTAGATTTTTTTTTAGCTACCGCGGAATAATTTTTTAGGAATAATTTTTAATATATGTTGACTAATGAAAAAAGTTACCGAACTGATAAACACAGTCCGTTATTCGAAGGTATGGAAGCGTAAACGAGTACTTGGATTAATTAGTGAGATTTATTGAAAATATATTTCTTAATTAGTATGGACCAATTTCCTCGGAATTTTTGAGTAAACGTGAAATATGAAATTAGTAATAAAAACCCTTGTTTTCGATAATCAGGGATTTAAATTAAAAAAAGAATGTTTTAACACTACATTAAAGTATTTTCGAAATTTGTTTTGCCGAATAGACTGAGTCATGTGGTAGATGTGTATGTTTCATGCGATTGATTAGGGTATATTGTTTTATGATTATTTACACCTTCATAGCTTTTTCGATATGATTTGTCGGTAAGAAAGTGCTTTGTGAGACGAAAATAATTTCCTTTAAACATAGTACTAAATTAAGTTTACCGACATCAACTGCAGTGACTGCGACTAATTTCATTTATCGACTACGTTTCGTCTAATAGTAAAAATATCGAGTTATCGATCCTAGTTAGGGCAAGGGGTAAACAATTAATAGTAGAGAAACGTTCGTTCTTGATCGAATTGCATCCGATATTCAAATACTCGTGCATTTGAGGTATAGGTATTAATCTGTTAACCGAAAAAGACAGATTATCTCGTTACTTGGATTTTTATAATATAATATAATATAATTTCTTTGTTTATAAATATCCTATACTTTATTGCTCCGTTTCATTTTTTTTTTACATTTTCACTTAAACGTCACAGAAAAACGACATAATAAGTACATTTTTTCCCATAATTTTCCAAATCATCATGAAAATCTTTGGTAAAAAGATGACCCATTAAGAATTAACAGGTTAAGAGTAGGAATTGGTGCAACGCGATAAAAATCGTCTGGGTGTTCCGGGATCATATGCACGAGGTCGTACCGTGTGTTCGTGTGTGCTAGGTGTGTACGAAATGCCGATGGTTGTGGTGGCCGGTGTGGCGCATCGATTCGGAAACGTTCGAAAAACTTTTCTTTGAAAACTCGAGTCGCGTAACTTGCTACTTACCTTGGCAGCGATCGCCCCGTACCAAGCCAGTCCTCAACTTCCCACAGTCGTATCGCCGGGCATATCGCCTCACCGACGCGTAGCAAACTTTTCCTTCGGCTCCTCGAATTGTTCCGATCCAATCTTTACATAGATAATTCCTTCTTTTCTCTTCAAATAAAAGATCTCGTAAAACTTCGTTCGACCGCGATCGTTACATAGAAAATCCTTTCTTTTCTCGTCTAATTAAAAATCTCATAGAAACCTGAGCTCACAAATGCATCAGGAGCTTCTTAATTATACCTGGTTTCCTTAAAATCTTTTGTAACTCGCTTCTCTTGGACGGATCTGGAAATCTGTCTGATCCGAATCCGACGTGCAAGAGACACTTACAGAATCCTCTCAGAGAACGCTTATAGAGTCCTCTCAGAGAACACTTATAGAATCCTCTCAAAGTACACTTCTTATTTAGAAGTAGCCGAAGCTTCTTTTATTTCTCACCTCGTACTGTCGCGAGTTTTTTCCCGAGACACAGGGATCTTCGTTTCGATAAGTCGATCAACCGTGCACGTCTCGGCTATTTCGCCCTTCGCCACCACCTTTTAGATGCGATCGAGGAGCCCGGAGCCTGTTCGTCGTTTACATCGATCCGCGACCCTGTCATCTGTTATTCGTCTCAAGCAACCGGTTCGACCATCGAAATCTTTCTCCGACGAACGATTTACTTCACCAAACTGGGTTTTCCCGGTAGAATACACGGGCTGTATCGACGAGAAAGTTAAATCTCTCGGAGAATCATCTCCGCGAGCCCGTACAAGTAGCAAGAGCCAAGAAGAAACGAGCAGATCCAGGGAGAGACGAGATGATCCAACGAAGGTTCCACTGGAAGAGATCTTGCTTCAGAAGCTTGCCACGTTGCTGCACGTTGCTTGCAGCATCCTCGGAGTATGCTAGTCGCGTGTTCGACCCACGATGATGCTTCTTTCAAAAAGATTCTCGCGTTTTCAGCGATTGAGGGTCGACGACGAGGACGAGAAGATGATTTGGTCGACTTGTTGGATCACGGACGCGATATCGTCGCGGTTTCGAGGGTCGAATGGAATGCTTCGTCACGACTGGACGGGGAACGGCGTTCGTCGAGTGCCGTGGAAACTGTCTGCCGTCCATGAACAGCGTTGCCGGCACGGACGCACCCCGTAGAAGGGTGCACAACGCGCAAACGTAGTGGAGAAGAAGGTTGCTGCGCCAGCGCGGCCTCGTGCGGCCAGATCGCCGCATGAAGGAACGCCGCAGCCCCGTTTCAGCAGCCTCTCCTGCCGCTTTCACCCCTTCTAACGCTACTCCCCCACCGTAAACGTAGCGTGATTCCTCTGGTAGACTGTCTTCTTCGTCTCCTCCGCGGCCAATGGGTCGTCGAAGGCCGAGGCCACGAGCCTTCTTCTGTTCAGGGCTTTTTCCAGGTTAGGTTTCGTTCGAGTGGATGGAACCGGAGGATCTCGCGCCGTGTGGGACGCTTGATTAGCTTTTACAGTCGATGATTCGTTTAGACTTTTTGGCTACTTTGATGCTTAGAAATTTTGTACATGATACGGAGTTTTGCACGTTGTTAGTTTTATTTCTAGGATTTTCTTTGTGGAATTTGATGGTTGAAAGATGGCAAGGGGTTTGAAGATCGAAGGTTGTCGATAGAGATTTTTGGAATACGAACGAATTAATGGCTTTTCGTGATTCGTCGGAAGAATGAATTTTATTCGAAAATAAAGCTTTTACGTTCAATTCTGAGAATCGTTTTAAGCAGTTAACCGTTCGATCGGCCTGATTTATAGGTAAACTAGAAATTTCTAATTTGTCTCTCTCGCGTTACGCTATGGAAAGGTTGAATTAATCTAAATCGATATTCCAATATCTTTCTAAACATTTTCTCATTCGAACTTTCAAGCTACCGAGCTTTAACACGAGCAATATCTTCTGCTTAAATACTAGGACAAATTCCACGATTTTTTAAACAAATCTTATCCACTCGGTTAGAGAAGACAAAGAGACGATAAACAAGAGCGACGACAACCGGCGGTATATCGAGCCTGACGAACAGAAAGGCGATTTAATCGTTCAAAAAGTCGAACAGACGAAAAGTTTCCGCCGAAATATAACGTTCCGTACAAGGTAATTCGCTGCGTCTCTCCTCTCTCTTCTCTTTTCCTCTTTTAGTTCGAAGTGCCTACGACGTCTTTTTTTAATTTTTTCTCTCGACCAAGCCGGGCGTTGGAATTTCAAAGAACTCGTCTTTGTACCTTCGACGATTGTGGTCCCTTTATTTTCTGCCCCTTTCATGCTCTCCGCTCTTTCAAATTTTCCCCAGAGAGGGAGGGAGAGAAACGAAGGGAAAGGGGGAAAGAAGGAGAAACGAAAATCATCTTTTCCTCTTCGCTGTTTGCCCAACAAACGTCGCGTCGATTCCGATAGAATCATAATTTTCACGCGTGTACCCCTTCACGAGAACATGGCCGCTTCTCCATTCACTGACTTTCTGCTCTAATCTTTTAATCCTTTGTTTCATGATCTTTTTCGTGAGCGTATATCGTAGCGTTAGCTACCTGATGCTTTAATACGGTGTTTAAAGCAATGCAATTTGTATTTGGAAATCCATATGTTTGCAATTTGGAATCGGCGCTTCAGTCATGTACCGTGAATTACATGGTAATTCTCAGCGAAAAACGTAAAAGATTCGTTTTTCCGTAGAAATGTGTTCATCGAACAACATTAAACTTATCTCGCGATTATCCTATTCAAGGATAAAGCAGTTTCGCTCGGAAGCAAGCAAATATTTGTGATTATCGCGGCAGTCGACTTTTGCTAAAATCAAAGTTAATATTATAAAAGTTTATAATCTTCGTTGAATGATAACCTGCAAGAAATCGTTCGAATTTTCTTATAAAATCGTTCTCCTTTGCTCAAAGTATGCACGAAACGAACGGTCACTGAAATTCTGCGACTTAAATAAACCTTCGTATTTGGAGTAGAATAGGTTTTTCGAGGATGTGTCGAGGATGTCTGGAGTGTTGCTAGCGAATCAGCGAATATCACGAACTTTCGTTAGACCGTGTCGTCTTTTTCGGCCATTAAAGGCCGCTTTAGAGAGACATAGCCCCGGGTGAAGTCGCTTTAGCGACGACCACGAAACTCTTCTCGAAGAAATCAGGCATTAGTGCATCTTTGGAGCGAGCACACAGAAGCCTGGCCGAGAAAAATAAGCATAAGCGTTTTCTTTCTTCGCTTTCAGAGAAAGCAGCCCATCGTTTCAAGAGGATATTCCACTATCACTGTATACCGTATACATATATCGACGGAATACTCGAGAGGCTTAGCGAAAAAGCAACGTACACGTATAAAAGTGTATTTGAGAAGGAGGAATTTTTAGACGATCTTTTTTTTTTATCAATCTCCAAACGTTTGCGAATACTTATGGCAACGTATTTTAAGCCATTGTCTCTTCAGCTTTTTTCTCGACTGTCCGAAGCGTTAGTCGTTTGTCTTGCACCTATAGATACCGTAATTATTTCTGCCGATACAAAAAATTGTAGGATAAAGTTAGTTGTGTCGGAACGACGAGCGTTATGATTTATGACTTTCTTTCTTCCAAGTCATTTTTTCCGAGTTCTATTCTCTAGAAGAACGTGTTAAGGCGATAGCGTCTGGAAACGACCAGCTTCTTCGTCACTTTCAGTAAAATTACCTAAAATATTTGTAATTAGAATTTTATATACAAATATATTTCTTCTTTATAAATTGAACGAATACCGGAGGAGTTTATTGACTTTTTTATTTTGCTACTTATCATAGCCAAAGCGATCCTAATTAAGACTTTGACGTCGGTACGCTGCCGCAAGCACCTAGTCTTCTATGCCGCGTAATTTTGTAAGACAAGTATGCAAATGGAATATGCGGCAATGCTTGAAAAAATAAAAAACGTCGTTTTACGTCTGCCGTCGGTAACGCTCGAAAAACACAAGACGCCGATTCGCGTCTGCCGATGTCAATGTGCTTCTGGTTTCCAATTTATCTAATTATTATTTGGTTAATTATCGTGCACGAGTGGCCAGATTGTTAAATCTCGTTCTTCGAGAACAAAATGAGGAAGATCTTAATCACATCCATCCACAATTTTCCATGCAATTATAAATCTCGTAATAAGAACAAAAGCGAGGAACAAAATTAATAACCCCGGTTAATAACTTGGGTATTTAATGAAACTGTAGACGGTGTCGCATAATAATGAAATCTTCCATTTTTAACGCTTTTCTTTGCCCCGGCTGGATATTCCATCGCTCGGAGGAAATGAAAGCAATGTCTTTGAAAGCGTAAACGAGCGTTTCAGCTCGATCTTTCGGCGCGCTAAATTCCCGTCGATCGATCGTTTCACGCCCCCATTATATTTCCTCTCGAAAGAAGGCTTCATTTTTCACCTACTATCTTCTTTTTGCCTCTTCTTTATCTATTCTGCGATTCGCCGCCGAGAGAAACAACTTCTCTCCTCGTTTCTTCGCGCCGCGTGCTTTCGCCGGAAGACAGCACATTTTTTCGAAAATAGCTCGCGCGTATATCGCATTTATCGCGTCCCAAGGATTTCTGTGGTTCTCTCTAAGGCGAGATTAAGGCATAACGCAAATTCCGTTCGATACCGAGTTATTTCTTTTTTAGTTTCTTATTTTTCGTAATTTTACTAGAGAGCTGTCCAACCGTGCTCCGCTTTCGATACGAGCGAGCTTCGAGCGAACTAAAAGCCGTCAAAACTTGAAATGAAATTAAGAAACACTACTTTTGTGACATTTTAGTTTATACGTTTAGCACGGAAGAAACAATCGAAAGTGAAATCTTTGCATAGAAACAAGGCATGGGAACATTGGATATTTTCACTAATCTTCTTATATATTGTGCATAAAGTTACAAACGTTGCTTCTTCGCTATATCGCTATAATCAACATCGTCGCCATCTGCTACGTACAAATAAATCCGCGAATTATTGCGTTAATATTGCGTTATATCCTTTTCTTTCCATCAGAATCACGCGATTTCTAATATTTCGCGTTTTCTTGAAAATATTTCTGACACCTGACGCGCGTCTACTTAAATTTCCGATTCGTTCGGACAGCGTGTTCTCTGGAGGACCGATCTCAAAGTACGATTTGCTTCGAACGAAACTGTGTATCATGAATAAAACGAAACGAGTTTCGACTTACCGAGCGTCGTAGAGGAGCAGAACGTGGCTGAGACCGGTTATGGTCACCTGTCGCATCGGAATATGTATTTAATGGTACGCACGAACGCGCGCACCTTCGCGATCACTTCCTCTTGCATCAAGTTGAAGCACATCGCGATCAATGCCATACCTAAAACGTATTACTTTGCTGTTGGTCTATTTTTAACGATGCTTGTGCCTACTGGCAAGTTGACGTTACTTTCAGTGCTACCTTTTACTTTACAAATGTTTACCTCTGTAAATGAAGGTTACATTCAGTTTATGTTAGTTTCGCGAATCTTTGAATTTACACGTAAAGAGAATTCTCGCGAAAAAGGCGAGTAGATTGTTTCGTTACGAGAGCGGATTGAAAAGTTTCCAAGATCGCCGGCTAGATGTTGCTTTATTTGTTATTGTTATCGTTATTCCGAAAACTTTTCAATCTGTCCTCGTATATTTTTGCGAAATTAATGGACTTGACGCGTCGAGATCAAAGAATCGTACTTTCTTTGTTTCTTCGAGGATTTTTATAACGCAATTTTCTATTTGCCAAACTATTGTGCTATAATAATATCCGTGTGCTATAATAACGAAAAGACTCGAGACTTTCTTTGTTTTCTCGAAGAGTACTTGTAGTGTAATTTTCTAATCTTTAGAACATTATAATACGACAATGTCTAGCATCGTTCCAAAGGAAAAGAGAATAAACGAAAAGATTTGTTCTGCTTGATACGAAGAATTATATTTCCTTTGTTTCTCGAACGATTCTTGTATGATAGCACAATTTTCTATCTTTTTCTTTTTTTTTATAGTACTATAATATAATAATATCCATGCTCGATCGACGTCCACTCGGTGTAAACCAACGCTCAGACAGGAACGGCTATAAAATGGCCGTGGATTCGATTCGCTACTCGAAAAAAGCTCCGCTTCAAAGAGACTCGTTCCCATTGCCGCATAAACGCCAATCGAAAAATCGAATTTCTCTACTACCTGTGATACGACACGGGGTAAACCTCAAAAAAGCTAAAATAGAAAGAAGAATTCGGGCTAGTTGTCAAACTTTTGTCTGGCCACGTACAAAGTGGCGGACAGCTAAAAAGCAATCGATCCTCCTGACCCTTGACACGCTTCGCGACACTTTGGCCCTCGATTCATTAACCACGACACCACGTAAGTGTGCACCTACGGTCGTGCCAGCATCGAACAATCGACGAATTTTAAACGATGGAAGATTTTTATTTATCATCGAGACGTTGACCGCCCACGGTGACCATCGATGAGACCTACGTTTCGCTAAATTTCTTGGAGCGATTGGAACAAGATAAATCTCGTGGATAAAAGCGTTTTTAACAGCGTGAACGATTCAGATAACATGGTTAGAAAAATGTGCGTAAATATAATA